GATGTACTGGCCTGTCTCCTGGTAGCGCCTCCATGCTCTGGACACTACGCTGACAGACACAGCAAACCTTCTTGCCACAGCTCGCATTGATGTGCCATCCTGGATGAACTGCACTACCTGAGCCACTTATGTGGGTTGTAGACTCCATCTCATGCTACCACTAGAGTGAAAGCACCGCCAGCATTCAAAAGTGACCAAAACATCAGCCAGGAAGCATAGGAACTGAGAAGTGGTCTGTGGTCACCACCTGCAGAACCACTTCTTTATTGGGGGTGTCTTGCTAATTGCCTATAATTTCCACCTGTTGTCTATTCCATTTGCACAACAGCATGTGAAATGTATTGTCAGAAATGTATTGTCAATCAGTGTTGCTTCCTAAGTGGACAGTTTGATTTCACAGAAGTGTGATTGACTTGGAGTTATATTGTGTTGTTTAAGTGTTCCCTTTATTTTTTTGAGCAGTGTATATATATATATATATATATATATATATATATATAAATAAATAAATAAATGAATAAATAAATATAGGACCAAACACACATCACAACAAGAGAGACAACACAACACTACATAAAGAGAGACCTAAGACAACAACATAGCATGGCAGCAACACATGACAACACAGCAAGGGAGCAACCCAACATGAAAACAACATGGTAGCAACACAACATGGCAGCAGTACAACATGGTAGCAGCACAAGACATGGTACAAACATTATTGGGCACAGACAACAGCACAAAGGGAAAGAAGGTAGAGACAACAATACATCACATGAAGCAGCCACAACTGTCAGTAAGAGTGTCCATGATTGAGCCTTTGAATGAAGAGATGTAGATAAAACTGTCCAGTTTGAGTGTTTTTTGCAGCTCGTTCCAGTCGCTAGCTGCAGCGAACTGGAAAGAGGAGCAACCCAGGGATGTGTGTGCTTTGGGGACCTTTAACAGAATGTTACTGGCAGAACGGGTGTTGTATGTGGAGGATGAGGGCTGCAGTAGGTATCTCAGATAGGGGGGAGTGAGGTCTAAGAGGGTTTTTTAAGTAAGTGGGTCTTGCGACGGGTATACAGAGATGACCAGTTTACAGAGGAGTATAGAGTGCAGTGATGTGTCCTATAAGGAGCATTGATGGCAAATCTGATGGCCGAATAGTAAAGAACATCTAGCCGCTCGAGAGCACCCTTACCTGCCAATCTATAAATTACGTCTCCGTAATCTAGCATGGGTAGGATGGTCATCTGAATCAGAGTTAGTTTGGCAGCTGGGGTAAAAGAGGAGCGATTACGATAGAGGAAACCTAGTCTAGATTTAACCTTAGCCTGCAGCTTTGATATGTGCTGAGAGAAGGACAGTGTACTGTCTAGCCATATTCCCAAGTACTTGTATGAGGTGACTACCTCAAGCTCTAAATCCTCAGAGGTAGTAATCACACCAGTGGGGAGAGGGGCATTCTTTTACCAAACCACATGACCTTTGTGTTGGAGGTGTTCAGAACAAGGTTAAGGGCAGAGAAAGCTTGTTGGACATTAAGAAAGCTTTGTTGTATAGCGTTTAACACAAAATCCAGGGAGGGGCCAGCTGAGTATAAAACTGTATCATCTGCATATAAATGGATGAGAGAGCTTCCTACTGCCTGAGCTATATTGTTGATGTAAATTGAGAAGAGCGTGGGGCCTAGGATCGAGCCTTGGGGTACTCCCTTGGTGACAGGCAGTGGCTGAGATAGCAGATGTTCTTACTTTATACACTGCACTCTTTGAGAGAGGTAGTTAGCAAACCAGGCCAAAGACCCCTCAGAGACACCAATACTCCTTAGCCGGCCGACAAGGATGGAATGGTCTACCATATCAAAAGCCTTGGCCAAGTCAATAAAAATAGCAGCACAACATTGCTTAGAATCAAGGGCAATGGTGACATAATTTAGGACCTTTAAGGTTGCAGTGACACATCCATAACCTGAGCGGAAACCAGATTGCATACCAGAGAGAATACTATGGACATCAAGAAAGCCAATCAGCTGAATATTGACAAGTTTTTCCAACACTTTTGACAAACAGGGCAAAATAGAAATGGGCCTATAACAGTTAGGATCAGCTTGATCTCCCCCTTTAAATAAAGGACGAACCGTGGCTGCCTTCCAAGCAATGGGAACCTTCCCAGAGAGGAGAGACTCAGATGGTTTTTTGGTGTCAAGTTTAAGGAGCTCCTTCAGCATCTCGGACTCCGTGACCGCCTGCAGGGAGAAACTTTGTAGCGGGGGAAAAAAGAGGGTGGAGCGTCGGGGCTAGTCGCATTAGAAGGACTGGGAGATAAGGAATTGTTGGATGGGCAAGGAGGCATGACTGAGTCAAATAGGAATCCTGACTTAATGAAGTGGTGATTAAAGAGCTCAGCCATGTGGGACATTAAGGGACATGGGCAGCTGTGAGGAGGGTTTATTCTCCAGGTCTTTAACCGTTTTCCAGAACTTCTTGTGGGTAGACACACAGAGAGAGAACTGCTCCTTAAAATAACTAGCTTTAGCCTTCCGGATAGCCTGAGTGCACTTATTTCTAATTTGCCTGAACGAGAGCCAGTCAGCCTGAGTAAGCGTGTGCCGAGCCTTTCGCCAAATGGAATTCTTGAGGTGGAGTAACTGTAATGAATACTCAGGGAGAAAAAGGTGTAGATTCACACGCAGAGCGTGGCAGGTGTTTATTTTGCCTTCGCAAAAGGCAGGAATTGTGGTCACAGGCAGTCAATGGTCATACACAGGTAGGCAAACAGGCAGGAGAATAAAAAACTAGGACTGAACGCTATAACTGGTTCTCACAAACAAGCTAGGAAAAGGCTTAGTAGAGAAAAATTATGTTCCAGTCCACAAGGCACAAACAGAATGAACTGAACTAAATAAGGAGCTAATGAGACCAGGTGAGTAACAAACACAGGTGAAATCAATGAACAAAAATGAAAGACAGGGCTACGTTCAAGAACACAAAGAAACAGGGCTACGTACAAGAACACAAGGTTGACTAAGAAAATGAATACTGTAACTCTGTTGAACCTGTTTTTAATTCTCATTTTCTTTATGGGGGCGTGTTTGTTAACAATACCACTGATAATATCAAAAAAGAAGGTCCAATCGTCTTCGACAGAGGGGATCAAGCTGATTCTATACCAATTTACAGAGTCCAGGTCAAGTTTTTTAGCAAGCGTCTATGACAAATCAGGACAGGTCATTTCACTGAGTAGCCATTACGAACACAGGCTGTAAAACAGTGATCACTAAGGTCATTACAGAAAACACCAGATTGATACCTATCAGGATTATTTGTGAGGATAACATCAAGGAGAGTAGCCTTTTCTGGGTGTTTGGAGTCATACTTTGTGGGATTGGTAATAATCTGAGAAAGATTTAGGGAGTCCCATTGCTTTAGGACTTGGTCAGGTGGTTTAAGCATGTCCCAGTTTAGGTCACCTGGCAGGACAAATTCAGACTTAGTGTAAGGGGCCAGGAGAGAGTTTAGGGCAGGTAGGGTACAGGCCGGTGCTGATGGTGTACGATAACACCCAGCAACAGTCAACAAAGAGCTATTTGAAAGTTTAATGCATAAAACCAGCAAATCAAATTGTTTGGGGACAGACTTGGTGGAGACAAACGAGCACTGAAGGTATACCTCTGTATATCGCTTGCAACTGAAGGCCCCCTTCAACAGGAAGCTACTGTGGTCGTCTGAGTAAGATTGCTCGCCTCATCTCACCTCATCTGTGCTACTGCTCAAAACTCTATTTCAATGGCTGCAGTTACAAATAGTATTGGGTTAAGTAAAATAAGTTAAATAAGCATTTATGCACCTATAGTAACTTTATGTGTCATGCACATAAATCAGGTAATTTTACCGCATGAATATGCCTCATAGTTGTTCATAATCCCAGAGAGAGAGAGAAAAAACAAGACCTGCTGTATACATGCACATAATCCAAGTACTTGAGATTGTTATAACATGTGAATAACATGTAATAACATTGTTAACCATGTTATAATATATCAAATGAATCAAGAACAAGTTAAAATGTAACAATATATTAAATGTTTTCAGGTATGTATAAAAAGAAAGGGGAAAAATAGAAACAGTGTCACGCCCTGGCTCTGGGGACTCTTATATGTTGAGCCAGGGTGTGTAGGTTTCTATGTTATAGTTTTCTATGTTGTGTTCTAGATCGTTTAGTTTCTATGTTGGCCAGGGTGGTTCCCAATCAGAGACAGCTGTAGCTTGTTGTCTCTGATTGGGGACCATACTTAGGCAGCCTGTTGGCACATGTTTATTGTGGGATCTTGTTCCGTAAGGTTTGTGTTATTAACCTAGGACTTCACGTATCGTTTGTTTATTGTTTTGGTTCGTGTTGTGTGTACACTAATAAAGTATGTACGCTTATCACGCTGCGCCTTGGTCCGCATCATCTAACGACGATCGTGAAAAACAGGCACAGCTGCTCAAACAGGAAGTGACCTAATCGATTCTCTCTGTGTCTGAACTTAGTTGTAGAGGTTTGCCCATTAACTTGCTCATAGAGTAGCTACTGGATATATGTGCTGGATACTTTCACTTAAGTTTCTGGTACCACTCACTGTCATACATTAAAATACAGAAAATGTTCTTGGTCAAAACTGAAGGCTGTTTTTTTTTGGATGGTATTATGTTATACCTCTTTTGCTTCAACGGGTAAGTGCTTAAGAGAATGATAATATAGATACAGCATTTTATGTAGAGCTATGAAAGAATAAATGTAGAATAGGAGAGTAGAAATTTAAGAGAAGCTTCCTGTCATGTGAATGTGTTGTGCATTAGGAAAATAATGGTGTAATCTTTAAAATCCTATTTTTAGCTTACACTTTTAGCTTAGAAAAATGTATGCTGCTGAGAATTTACCATAAAATGGCTGTGTATTTTAACCATAACATTGCAACGTTTTGTCTATGAGCCTGATAACCGTCCAAACCCAACACTCCTCCTCTAGGTAACAAACATTGCCATGACTCCTGTAACACATCCACCCTCAATGCTCCACTGGGCTCTGCGGTGCTCCTGTCATGCAGCTTTGGGTCCACCTCTCTGGGCATCAGCCCTGGCCATGGCTGGGTGGTGTGGAACCAGGGCTCTGGTTCTGGTGCCAGCCTGGTCAACATCACGTCCTCTGGGAAGGTTGATGCCTCCTTCAGTTGTCTGCGTATCATGTACAATACTAGCCTTCTAATTTGTTTTGAGATTTTAGCCTTTTTAAAGCATTTTTTAACCTTATTTTGTCATTTCTGCATGTAATGAAAAGCGCTATTCAAATAATATGTATTAATTTATAAATAAAATATTAATGTATTATTATCAGGTGGACTTTCTGGACCCCAGGCAGGGCAGAGTGAAGGCTTTCCCCAATCAGGGAGGTCTGGGGAACTTCTCCATCCTAATCGATGCCCTTCAAGCCTCAGACCTGGGCTCCTACTGCTGTGAGCTGCAGAGTCATGACCAGTGCCATTGAGTGGAAGTTGAGGAACTTGAAGAAGGTAACACAATGCTAGTATCTACAGTAGTATTTTGTTCCAATGGCTCAGTTGGTTGGAGAACGGTGCTTGTAACAACACCTGAGTTGTAGGTTTGATTCCTACTTGCAACCTCAACAGAATAATATTTATTTTTTTCTCCCCAATTGGTAGTTAGTCTTGTCCCATCGCTGCAACTCCCGTACGGACTCGGGAGAGGCGAAGGTCGAGTGCCATGCGTCCTCCGAAACATGACCCCACCAAGCCACACTGCTTCTTGACTCACTGCTCACATAACCCGGAAGCCAGCTGCACCAATGTGTCGTAGGAAACAAAGTACAGCTGGCAACCGAAGTCAGCGTGCATGCGCCCGGCCCTCCACAAGGAGTTGCTAGAGCGCGATGGGACAAGGACATCCCAGCCGGCTAAACCCTCCCGTAACCCGACGATGCTGGGCCAATTGTGCACCGCCTCATGGGTCTCCCGGTCACGGCCGGCTGCGACACAGCCCGGGATCGAACCCGGGTCTGTAGTGACGCCTCTAGCACTGCGATGCAGTGCCTTAGAACGCTGCACCACTCGGGAGGCCCTGTCAACAGAATATTTGTATCAAGAGAAAGTCACTTTATTGGTTACATTAGAACAATAATCTCTTATACTGTTGTATCCGAAAGTATAGGACCCTTTCAAGTCACCAGTAATGAGTCAAAATAATTGGTGCAAGTTTCATACTGTATATGCAAACTGCAGCGATGCACTCTGTATACACAGCATGTGGTCGGTTTTTCCTTCCACGGTCACTTTCTGTAAAGGCCAACCCATTTCTGGTCGGTTTAGACTCAGCAGCCCTCTCGCTTAATGTTTCCTGTAAGATACATGTAAATAAAACCTCCTCTTTACTTGTCTAGGTTCACACATCGTGTTGTTTTTCAGCGTCGGTGGTGTAGCCATCCTCATAGTGCTCCTGAGTGGCTGTTTCTGCTGGGTGAAATGGACACGTGAGCACCTCCATGTTCCTCTATCTGACTCACTCAGTCTTACTTCTGCTTTGGAATGATATGGATGAAGCAGCTAGCATGGCATACTGCACACTATATAGTATGCTACACCGAGTACATCAACAGTTATTTGGGCTAATCCGAATCTTCCTATGAGCATTAAGCAGCATCCTTTCTTTCTGATGTAAATGTTATGATGTTGATTGTGCAACTTTGCAAGCTGCTTCCATGTCAGTTATGTAGCTACATATCCTACTGAAAATATGCACATTGCACACTTTAAACAGGCCTATAGGCATGTCTTAATGCCACCCAGTATGCGCTGTAGAAAGAGGAACTGCATGGATGCAGTTGTGGAACATTTCAAAATAGCCTAAAATGTTTGTGAAATGTGATGTACTTGTACTTTCAATAAATACATAATGCCTGAAAAAGTAATAATCTTGTAGAAGTGCCTTTTCTTGTTTTAGGAGTTTCTAGTGAAAGAACACCAGACTATATCAACACCCATTTCTATGCAGGTTGGGACTCTATGCTCTTGTTCTAATCCTAATGTTAATTTTAATTTATTTGCGAAAGAGAATGTATTACCACTATTGCATTTGAGCACCCCTTTCAAATCTGATTAAACATGAAATTAATGTAGAACTCTGTATAATATAAAAATAATAAAAAACACGCGCGCACACAGTGTCTTATGATGTCCATGTGGTTAAGATTATGCAACATTACAACATCACTCTATAATTACTAAACAAGACCACAGTACAATGTCATGTTGCATTTACAGACTGATGCTCACATATGGTTTTGTCTTACTTTAGGAGCCGGCAATGAGGGACCGATCCACGGTACGTTTATGCTTCTATATTTACCATTTTCATTCAATGGACTGGAATGGAATTGTAAAGTTTTCTTTTCTACATGGACCTAGTTTGAACTGTTCTCTTCCCTCCTTTCAACAGAAAAAAATGAGCACGATCCAACCAGAATGCAGTATGATCCGACCAGAATTCTCCATGATCCAACCACAATTCAGCATGATCCGACCAGAATTCTGCATGATCCAACCACATTTCAGTATGATCCATCCAGAATTCAACATGAAGCACCAAGAAACCAGCACGAACCAGCTAGATACCAAAATAAAGTGAGAGAATCAAGTGAGAAAAGAAGACAGGGTCTTCATAGAGGTGAGCTATATGTAACATACAGTAGACATTCTATAACCATTGTCCCTTGTTCAATGATACCAATATTTTCATCCCCGCTTGGTATGCATGTTGAATTCAGAAGTAACTGAACTTTATGGACTTTCCTTCCCCAGAACTCATGAGCAGATTGTGCCAATCAAGTCTTGGACGGCATTACTATGGTAAAGTCAGAGCTTTGTAATGAGCAATTTACAATATCAGCTTGCAGTGATCCTTATATGAATTACATTGACTTGTCGTGAACTCTGACAGCAAACCAAGCCGAGATCAGCCAGCAAGCCAGAGCTCAGATGCACAACCGCCAAAGAGCAAACGAAGCAGAGACCAACCAGGAGGGCAGATCTCAAATGGACAACCACCAAAGAGGTGTCCTACATACTATGCTTTACAGTAATCTCTGAAAGAAATCAATATGCACTCTAGCATTTTTTATTAAAGCCTTGTCTCCTTCTCATTGCAGGAAGCTTTTGGAGAAAGAAACCCAAAGAGAGTAAGTTGCTTTTTTTCTCACAACATACTGCATAATCATAATCATTGTAACTTATCTTACATTAAGACCTCTCACACACACTCACTCACTCACTCACTCACTCACACACACACACACACACACACACACACAGAATATGAAAACCTTATCTACAACAGCGCAGACCAACTCAACAAACTGTAGACAGGGATGAAGAGGATACCGGGTCTCAACTCCTTGGTCTCACTTTTGTTTGGGTTTTATTTTTTTGTAGATAAAGTACATGACATTGTCTTGAAAGTGAAACAAATATGAAATAAAGTGAAATCATTTTTAAATGGTTTGTGATTCTTTCATGCGTCAGTGTATTATCCAATGTGAATCAGAAAGGCTCTAATCAAGGCAATTAACACTAATAACCCCCAGCTCTGTCACCCCACCAGCGGATGGTCACCCAGGCCCAATGTCCACTGTTTGCAGACCATCAGAGATGAAGAGGTACTCTTCTGTTGATGTAATTATTATTTGTTATTATTACTCTAACCTGCGTAGAGCGAGAGGGATATAATCCATACATTCAACCGCACTGACGGTCTGAAAGGTATGAAGTAGATCTGCAGTTTACAGTTTACATTTAAGTTACTTACCTTGGACATAGATTACATCCCTAAAGAGCAATTCATCAATTTTCCGTTCAACATTTATGTCCAAGGTAAGTAACTTAAATGTTCAATCCTGATCAATGAAATGGCAATATTGTTGGTTATACAGTATGTGTGGTTTTGGCTAATTGCTAATGTCATGTGTATTCAAATTCACACAGATGAATATGGTGGAAACTACAGGGCAATAGATATCGTTCTTCAGTGCCACTATCTCATGGGAGAAACAGACCGTTTCCTTGTCTTTTCTGTTCCCTACTATGGCTGTCTCGTCAAAAGACAAGTAGGCTAACTATTTCCGCTAATATTAAATCTCTTTCTTTTTTTTGCTGTAGCACATAATAATATAATAATAATAATATGCCATTTAGCAGATGCTTTTATCCAAAGCGACTTAGAGTCAGGCGTGCATACATAACACATAAAGGCTGACGTTAACCTCACTTTTATTCCAATGTGCCAGGGAGATATTGACAGTTTGACAGTGGTCATCAAGGCTATGGTAGATGAGGGCCAAGTTGAGATCACCAAGAGAGTGCCTCTCATCTTTAAAATGCCAAATGGCATCCTGAAAGGTAACAAAATCTTTGCCTTAATGTTATATAATACAAATGTTGCATTGTGGAAAGAATGTACTCAGCGGCATTATAGTGTGAGATTATATCAGTTATCAGCAGTCTGTAAACATACCTTCAGAGGAAATCAGCAAGGTTGACAATCCACCATCAAGAAGTTATCTTGGGCACTGAGACAAGGAAGGGCTTCTCATCATCATCTTCCAGAATGCCATGTCCCACCCTCTGAACATGGACACAGTCCAGATCCCCTCCAGCCACAGCCAGAATTGCAAGCCCAAAACCAGGACTGACCACTCTGTTAACTTTCCATTCACCTACTGTGGCGCTCAATCACAGAGGTGTGTACCATTTAGATGGTCTATTAGCTTTTTGATTTTGCTTATTTTTTGACATTTTCTATTTGGAAAATTATCTATTGGGTGAACGTTGAAGGAGATCAACTTTTGCATCATAAACAAGGATCTATATTTCGAGATACTCGCTTTAGTTAAGAATTACAGTGATCCAGATTGTCATTTATAGTGTGGAAGATATAATGGGGTTACACCTGCATGTTAGAGTGTGATTTCTTCCTTCCTAAGGATGACCTTCCACTGCAGCTATGCATTGACCAGTATGTCAGAACTCGGCATGGAGACCCAAAAAGAGAAAGTAGAGGAGGATTACCCACTACCAGCACTGAAGAGTGAGGGAATTCTACGGGCTGAGATGAGGTTTGCCAAAGGTGCTGTGAGTTTGTTGATGCAAGCACATCAGTTCAACATTTAGTTGTATTGTGTGTTCAAGGGTTTTTATTTGTCATGTTTTAATACAAAAACATAAAATGTCTCTTTCCAGTGCACACACATTAAAACGATTTAATAGGTTCAGCCAATTGCTATATATTGTGAGCAATTTGACTCTTGGTTGTGTTCTCTCCTCAGACTCCTCTTATATGTACATACATTTCTCTTTCCAAAACCAACAACTACAAGCCAATTGCAATCGTTCACAGACGATCAATCCCTATTGACCTATTTCTCAATGGTAAACCACTGTGTTCAGGACTTCTTGTTACCACTGTCAGGTATCCATACAGGGGTGACAGCCACATAACTGTGTCTGGCAGTGGTAAGGGTCTCAAGTATCCGTCACATCACAAGTGGTTCGTGGTCAGGCTATTCTCCTTTGTGAAATTCCATGGGTTTACAAAGTCTGGGGGGCTGTTAAATCATATACAACTCAAATTGCATTGTGTGAAAATTATTAGATACTTTTCAGTAACTGGGCGGTATTCATCACCACTTTCTGGGCACAGAGGCTTGAATGCTCCTGTTTACAGTGAAAATAATGAACATATTGTGGATGGACACTTATGTCTGCCAACTAATAACACTTTATCCCCCCCCAGGTAGACTTCCATTGTGATACAGATGTCTGTAAAGGAACCGGCTGCTCAACGCTCTGTAACAGAAGTAAGTTTACTTATCGTGTGAGCGAAGTAAAGTGTTTACTTTGCTTTGGAATAGGTCCCATTCTCTGGATACATGTGTAATCAATAAGTCCCATGTCTATTCTCCCTAGTGAGGAGGCAAATAGGAGTGCTGAGAGTGTTCTGCAGAACACCATTGTGTGGACCTGTCATCCTTCACATGTAAATAATTTGGGACACAGTTACTCTTGTTTTATTGATTTATTTATGTTTGACTGATTTGTAGTGCTTGAGACTAGGGAGTTCCCCATGCTTCCAATGCAGGTGCAGAGGAGCTACCAAGATGCTGCCCATGGTTCTGAACATCTCTAATCCAGGGCCGGTCCTTGCCGTTCTGCCGCCATAGGCAAGACCAAAAAAAATTATATTTTCTGTGTGTTTAAAATACAAATTTTCCAAGAAGTTGAAAATGCCTATTTTCCGGACGTAAAAAAATACGTATTTTACAGACGTTGAAAATATGTCTGTAATCAGGCTAATTTTTGGTTTTGAATGAAAGTTGAAAATATGTAATTTATAAACTTCTGTGTTTGGGCCAAATCAAAGCTGGTCCAGATGGACAAAATCTGAACCAAACATAGACGTCTAGCCTTGAAATCAAGGCTAGTCTGGACGGATACCAAGTGCGCTTCGATGACTGCACGACACAGGTGAGAGAGCTCCAAGACACCTACCTAGTAGTCTGCTTATGTGTTAGGCACATTGAAAGTGTTCTATAGGTCTACGTATTGTCACTGAAATGTAAAGAGAATTAGATTGTAGTGTATATCAGCAAGTGTGTGTCTCTGAAAGGAGATTTGTGTTTGTGGGTTGTCAGGACACGGTGGTGAAGTACATGGCAGACGTCTGTCTGCTGAGAGAGATCCTGGCAGACCCTGTTCTGTCTCAGTACAGTGTGGTCATTTTGGATGAAGCCCATGAGAGGAGCCTTAACACTGTCAGTAGTAGAGCCAACTACTTCAATACAGTAATCTGATTATATGGCCAGCTCCATCCCTCAGTTGTATTTCAAAACAAGTGGTGGGGCTGAAAAATCTAATCCCAGATTGTAGCATTAAACAGTTGTGTAATATGTGCTTCACTGCAGGACATTTTGCTGGGTCTGTTGAAGCAGACCCTCTCCAGTCCAGATAAGGCCTCTAAGGGTCGCTCTGTCCCCCTGAAGGTGGTGGTAATGTCAGCCACCCTGGAGACAGACAAGCTCTCTGTGTTCCTGGGAGGCTGTCCTGTCTTCACCATCCCTGGAAGGAACCTTCCCTGTCACCTCCAAGTTTGGCTGTGCCATAGGACCAAAAGATACAGAGAGCTCTGTTTACGTTAAAGAGGTAGGGAGTAAGCTTGCTTTTACTGATGTAGGCCTATTGTTAGTATGATGTATGATAATGAATAAATTCAGTGATTGTATCACCCCAGGATTTAGCTAATTTAAACTCTGCCATCAACACCATTTAATACTGTATACTCCTTGCTATACATTTACATTTTAGTCATTTAGCAGACGCTCTTATCCAGAGCGGCTTACAGTTAGTGCATTTATCTTAAGATAGCTAGGTTGGACAACCACATATCTTAGTCATAGTAAGTACATTTTTTTTCAATAAAGTAGCTATCGGAGAAGTCATTGCTGGTAGAAAAAATAAAAAAGTCAAGTGTGTGTGTTAGTTCACAAAAGGCAAAGTTGTTTATTTTATTATTATTTTTTGCTCAATGTATATTGTCTCTACTAAAATGTATGGAAACATATGGGGGGAAACTGAGTATGAACAAACCTCTTGTCTGTGACAGGTTGTCAAGGTGGCATTGGATGTGCACACCAGTGAGATGGCTGGGGATATCCTTGTGTTTTTAACAGGTAAACCTAATAATAATCTACACATAATCTCCAGAATATGAATGTACTGATTACAGGTAAATATTTTTCAATATAACTGTTTATAACAGGGCAGTTTGAGATTGAGAAGGCCTGTGACATGTTGTATGAGAAGGCTGAATCCATAGACTACCGTTACGATGTGCAGGACCATAAAGTGGAGGGGCTGCTGATCCTGCCCCTGTACGGATCTATGCCCACTGGTAAGGTTTGGGGCACTGTCCGAGTACCCCTCACTGTGACATTCACATATAGAAAAACAAATTGAGTTCCCTTTCACACCCAAGTGGGCACAGTTTAGCATGTCATTGATTTGCTAAATCAAAAGTATAAAGTCATGACTCATTTAAACACCTTTTTAAATAATGTGAATGATGTGTCCTTCTCACAGATCAGCAGAAGCAGATCTTCCAGCCTCCCCACCAGGTATAAGGAAATGTGTGGCCACCAACATTGCAGCAACGTCCCTCACCATCAATGGAATAAAGTGAGTCACCATAAGGCTTATCAAAGAAACATAGAGCTGTTTCTATCCATCACAGAATGGCAAAGCCTCAAATTTCATAACTCATTTGTTAACTGCAAGTATATTGTTGACAGTGGGTTTGTGAAGCAACTCAACCACAATTCAAGGGTTGGCATGGACATCCTCGAAGTGGTTCCAATTTCAAAGTAAGTCCCGGAAGTCCCCGTTTCAGTCTGCTTCGTTCCGTGCCTAATGAACAGGAATGTGATGTTGTGTGGTGGTGTAGGAGCGAGGCCCTGCAGAGAGCAGGCCGGGCAGGGAGAACCTCCGCCGGGAAGTGCTTCCGGATCTACAGTCAGGAGTTCTGGGAGAAGTGCATGCCGGAGTACACAGTTCCAGAGATCCAGAGGACCAGTCTCACCGCTGTCATCCTCACACTCAAGTGCCTGGGAGTTCATGATGTCATCAGGTAGGTACAGCTCCTCTTTCTCAAGTGCTCAGAGAAACCAGTGTCCGTTTTCGAGACTGTTGATAATAGAATACAATCCAACAAGTAATTTGAGGCCATGGTTGCTTGGTGTGTCTCTCTAAGGTTCCCTTACCTGGACCGTCCAGAGGAGAGGGTCATCCTAGAAGCATTGAAACAGCTTTACCAATGTGATGCCATCGACAGGTGAGAGATGTAGACATACTGTATATCCGTGTACATCGGTCATTGTTTATACTAATCTCCACCAGATACATCTACAACCACATAGGGATACAACTCTGCTGTTTTCACCATCTATAACAGAGGGAACCTACCACATACAGTACTGGCAGTTCTTCATGACTATCATGACTCAATCTTTAATAGCACTTGTTATCTCTAATCAATAACCCCCTCCCCTGTCTGTAGGAAAGGTAAAGTGACCCGGCTGGGTGAGCTGATGGTAGAGTTCCCCCTGTCCCCAGGGCTGACTCGGGCCCTGCTCCAGGCTGCCTCCCTGGGCTGTGAGGACCTCCTGCTGCCTGTAGCTGCCATGCTGTCTTTGGAGAGCATTTTCATCAGACCAGGTGGACAATAGTGGCCTGAGGCCTCGATTTAATCAATGAAGATGTGGTTATGTCAGAAATACATATGTATGCATCATGGTTCTAATCTAAATATTTGGCATTGCTCTCTCTGCAGGCCATCCAGAGAAGCAGAAGGAGGCAGATAAGAAGCACAGGCAGTTGGGAGTGCAGGCAGGCAGCTGTAATGACTTCACCATGCTGCTCAGTGTGTTTGAGAAGTGCAAGGCCAGGTCTACAATATTAACTCCTCTTAATGTATTTAATAAGCTGCATTCATGTTCATGGGTCTCCATCTAACGTGAGCTTGTTTTGCTGCCTACTGTAGTGATGCCCCTTCAGCGTGGTGTAAAGACAACTATATACACTGGAGGGCGCTAAAGTCAGCCTTCAGCGTGGAGACCCAGCTCAGAGACATCCTCCTAAGACTACAAAAGGTCAGTTTGTTGTTTGTTTACATGTCTTATTAGTTTTGGTGTAGCTAAAACAATGATGTGAAGCTCTGAGCATGTATGTACAGATTTATAATCAGGGTATGTGCGTTGTTTCCAGAAGAGAGATTTTCCTATGGAGAAGTTTGCAAGCAATAAGAGTGAGCTGTTCAGGAGATGTCTATGCACTGGTTACTTCACCAACGTGGCAAGAAGGTACAGCTTTTATCCCAGTAATGTTAAAAAGTCAGGAAAGATAACTCAAATGTTGTGGTTTTCTCTCAGGTCAGTTGGGAAGGTGTTTTGCACGATGGATGGGCACGGATCCATGGTTCACATTCATCCATCATCAACGGTAAAGACTTCCAGGACTATATTCTGATCAATTCAGAACAATCCATAAACCCCCTTAATGCATATTATACATCAGTCCCAATTGCTCCTGTGTGTTAACCTGATTCCCCCTCCCCCATAGCTATTTGACCAGGAGGCCCAGCTGGACTGGGTGATCTTCCATGATTGCTGGTCACCTCGCGGATCTACATCCGGACGGTGTGCCCCATCCGCTATGACTGGGTGAAGAACCTGCTTCCTAAGCTCCATGAGGTGGATGTGTACGAGCTGAGCAGCGTGGCCAGAGAAGAGGTGACGGACGAGGAGGTGGCCAAGTGGGTGACCAAGGAAGCAGCTAAAAGACAAACAGGTGGGTGATGGACTCTGGTGATGAGTATGAATTTACTGGTATAGAAAGAATTGTATAACATTTGATGTTTCTGTAGCTACTCCTTTATTATATACAGTACAGGTCTCATTCAAAATCCTCTAATGGGGGCAAAGGTTTTTTAAATGGAAAACGTAATGAGTATTCCTATTGGACAAGCTAAGTTACTATGGTGCCTTTTCTGTTCAAGCCAGGCCCCCAGGCGATCCGTATGCTTGTTTTGTCTGCTTGACAATCTAATAGAAGTAATTCTGTGTGTTTGGTTTAATTTCCAGTGGGGTCTGCTGAAGACGCGTTCAAGAATATGGAGAAACGGAACGATGAAAGCTCTGTGAGCAATGCCCGTGCTCGCTACCTACAGAGAAAACAGGAACGGCAACAAGGCAAAGCACCGTGAGAGAGGAGGACATTGGACACTTATCCTCAGGGGAAGAAGGACTCAGTTATTGGACTGACCAGGACAGAAGAATCTCCACTCAGGGGTTAAAAGCCTGTCTGTTATAATAAACTGCACAGGCGATGTTCTGAACAATGTTTTACAACACGGAAATCTGAGAGTTCAGGGTCAAACATGGTCCTTTGTAGCTCAGTTGGTAAAACATGGCGCTAGTAACACCAGGGTAGTGGGTTTGATTCCTGGGACCACCCATGTGTAAATAGTATGTATGCATGACTGTAAGACACTTTGGATAAAAGTGTCTGCTAAATGGCATATAATATTATTATTATTGTTATTAGTTAAACATACATCAATAATGGACTAGGTCCAGATATTGAATTATCGTAGTCATATCAAATGTCTACTACTGCAGATGTTTTATGCTATGTTGTCTTTTAGTGGTATATTTCTTTTTTAGTTTCATACCAATCAACGTTTTTGTCTTGAGAGTACATTTTGCCAGTGGAGGGCCTCTGCAACCGTTCTCTACTGGTTCTAAGACAGTTACAGAATCACATACAGTTTGTCAATATGTCACCCAACAGTGTTGTCAGATCAGCACATTAGAGAACAACCACGGGCACTTTATTTTGTACAACTCTGCCTCTTATGTAATCAAGGTTCATTTCGTAACTTCCATTGCTTCATGATTTTTAAAATGTATTTTGTGTGCTCCATTTGTAGTCATACAAACCAGATAAGACTCATATCCCATCATCCTTTGCGCAGAGACTTGCGTTATTAACATTCCCCTGTTTTGGTCCGTCCATGCGCGAGCCAAACGTGGCTTAACACAATTGGCAATATCCACCGATTACGTTCTAAACCTACACATTTGATCGATTCAATTAAATCCAGTAACATCTCATGTTGATAAGTCATCTGACAGGTGAGTGAAGTTGTCTCTGCATCGCAATGAATGTTGCTAGCAGTTTTGACATATGGCTGCCAAATAACGTAGTCTGATATAACGCTAGCTAGTTAGCTTGTTCAATCTAAGCAGGTTAGCGTTGTCAGCTTTTCTGGAATCTACTGCCAGTACTGAAAATCATCACACTAGTCTAGAGACCTGTTATATACCATTTATTCTAATACACGTAAGTTGTTGTTTACTTGCTCACTCAATGCATTACCGTTACAGTGCTGGTCAAGCATGTTGTTCGCTGAGGAGGATGAGTGGAACGATGACCCAGAAGCCAAAGTTCTGACCAAGACGGTTATCAGCAGTTTCAAACTGTCTGACAACACCAATATCGCGGTGAGATGCAATCTCAATCTTCTTTATAATTAAATATACCTTTGTAGCTAGCAAGCCAAGCATAACTCACTCTGCCAGTGACCACATATTTAAATAGAGGGTTACATTTGGGTTTACACTGGTATTCAGTTTGACACTGTCATTCTGCTTTTCCAAACAGCCAAAAAGTGTTGGGAAGAAGAGTTTGTTACGGACCCTCCAAACACTGGGGTCAGTACCAAACTGGAGCAAGAGCAATGGTGGCCCTCGGGAAGCAGGCAGTGACAGCGAAACAGAGGCCATACTGACACCACACACCAAGAGGAAGAAGAAAAGAAGCAAAAGAGGACGCAAGAAAGTAGCCGCTTCAGGAGAAGAGACAGAGAAGGACAGTGGGGATCTGGGTGCCGAGGAGGCTACAGTGCCTGTAGTTAGGAAGCCAATAAAAGCAGGTGAGTTGTTTCACAAGCACAACTGTCAATTGAGTAAACAGGATTGTCTTGAGTTGAAAAGATGTTTGAGGTGTTCTTTCTCTATTTTCTAGGGTTCAAAAAGGTAAAGAATACAGAGTCCATTCAGGGAGGTAGTAAATGTAGTAAACAAGATTCCAAATCTATCAAGGATGAAGGAAAAGCTGCAGCAGACGCAGAGATTGAAAGATTAAACCGAAAGCAATGGAAAAACAAGATGAAGAACAAGAAGAAATGTAAAAACAAGTTCAAAATTAAAAATGGAGAGAATTCCACACCCCCAGAGACCACTGTGCAAAAGGACACAGAAGATGGACCAAAAGTAGCTTCTGATGTGAACAGGAAAACAGCGGTTGACCAGACACAACAACGCCAGACAAAGAAAAACAAACAGCAGAAAGAGGGTGAGCGTAAAACACAGAAAAGGAAAAAGGTCCCAGAGGGAAAAGAGATGACCTTCACTGAGACTGCTTCCACTCCAGGCACATTAACAGTCCAAAACAATAACTTTTCAAAGGGGGGCAGTCAAGTAAAAGCTGTCCCACTAGGTAACTCTAAACCCCCAGGTAAAGAGTTAAAGACGGAAGAGGATGTGGTTAGGGAGGAGCAGCAGCCAGAGCTGCATGGAAGTAAGAGAAGGAAACAGAAGGAGAGCAAAGAGCAGGACCGCAGGAGAGAGAAGCTCAGGAGAATGCTCCGTGGCCAGAGCCCGGAAAATAAAAAGCAACCTACAGAGCAGAAGGAGGAGACACGCACCACAGAGGAGGTGAAAGAGGCTCCTGCCGACCGCTCGGCTGCTCTGAGGTCCCGCATGGAGCAGCGCTTGGAGTCAGCGCGGTTCCGTTATATTAACGAGGTTCTGTACACCACGTCTAGTGGGGAGGCTAAACGCATGTTCAGACAGGACCCCCAGGCCTTTGGCATCTACCACAGGGGCTTCACGGCACAGGTCCAGCGCTGGCCAGCTAATCCTGTTGACGCCATCATCTCCTACATACGCCACAAGTGAGTTGTGTTATGCCTCTGACTCTAACATACTTGCAGTATTTGCAATAAGTCTGTTTGCATAGTTTTTGTATTTTTCTTGACTTGGTTCTGGGGTGGGGGATCCAGTGTGTGGCTTTCTTTGTAAGACCATTTGTGTTGATTCTAGGCCTGCCTCTCTGGTGGTGGCAGATTTTCGGCTGTGGCGACTGCAAAATTGCTGTTAGTGTGAAGAACAAAGTGCACAGTTTTGACTTGGCACCTATCTGTGACAGTGTAACTGTCTGTGACATGGCTAATGTGAGTCCAACTTTACCTTGATGCTGAATCTGTTCTGTCATCCATGCCTGTTTACTATGCAGTCTGTGTTTTTCATGTAATAATGATGTATGATGGCTATTGTTGTCCCACCATTCTGCAGGTACCTCTCAAGGATGGCACTGTGGACATAGCTGTATTCTGTCTCTCTCTTATGGGGACCAACCTTGGGGATTTCCTAGTTGAGGCTAACCGTGTGCTGGTGATGGGGTAAGAGATATTATGCAGAAAAACAGCTACAGTATGTCAATATGTTGGAGTAGAAGGTGTTCCCATTTATATGTCATCATCATCAACACTTTGGGGCTTTTTTTGCAGGGGTATCCTGAAAATTACAGAGGTGGCAAGTAGATTTGAGAATGTGCGGAACTTCATGGGTGCTTTGTCCAGCCTGGGATTCAAGTTGGTCACAAAGGTAAGGCAGTAAACAGTGATGGCTATGTAATGATGCATGTTTTAAGTAATGCATTGTTACAATACCCTACCCTATTCATTTTGCTCCCTCCTTAGGACACAGAGAATAGCCACTTTTACTCCTTTGAGTTTGAGAAGATTGCAGAAGCTCCAGAGAGGATAAAGAAGGCAGGAGGACTGGAGCTGAGGCCTTGTGTGTACAAGAAACGATGAGGGCAACAGTGAAGAGAACATGGGAGAAACAGTTCCAAATGGCACTCTATTCCCTTTATACTGCACTACTTTTGAACAGGGCCCATTGGGCTCTGGTCAAAAGTAGTGCACTATATAGGGAATAGGGTGCCGTTTGGGACATACCACAGGAGAGAAGTCAGTGAGGAGGCAAGCAGGATGGACAGTAACGTAAAAGGGCTCTTCTGCTGGTTGTTATTGTAAATATGGTGAGCTGGTGGTTTTGACCCCCAAACCTTGTGGGCTTTCAAATGTCTGTTTCAAAGACAAAACATGTTCAAAAGTTGTTGACAACATTGGTATATTTTTTATTAAATCAAAAAAGAAATGTATTGCATTATAAGTCTTATCATGCACAATAATTTCAGATTCATAAAGCAAGAGGAATTATTCTTATAAGATTTCTCATATAAAGTCTGTTGTAAAAACCTTGAGTCTCTGTCTAGAAATAAGTGCTTCAGTATAATCGCAGCATTGCATTGTCTAGTCTCACAGGGTACTCACAAGCCTCACTCTTCTCAGTGTACATAGCACAGGATCTAGCTTGGCCACTAGAGGGACACGGGCAATAATGTTATTCTCAGCCAGTTCCCAGTATCTACGGTCCCCATGCTCTCCGTCCAGATAGAGGGGACAGTGGTAGAGGGGCAGGGAGGAGGTGTTGCAGGGGGGGCTGTCTGGGGCTCGGACAGTGTCGGTGTTCCTCACCCGTGCTCTGACCCAGAGGAGGGGGAGTATGCAAGGCTGAGGAGATAGCGTGTCCTGCAGGGCTCCTAGCCGCGTATCCCACAGTGCCCCTCTCAGTTCTAGTCCACACAGATACACACCGCTCAGGGGAAGAGAGGCTGGGGATGTTGCAGCACTCAGCACCTAGCGAGACAAGGTAAAACAGCAATTAATACATGGAATGTAATTTTTAGTAGGTCTAATAAGAACGAGTGGAACTGGTAGCTTTGGGAGGCAGTTTAGGGATTACTGTACTTGGAAATGCAGAGAGACGTTGCTGATGTCCCTCTGCTTGGCATGGGCAGCCTCCCTGATTAACGCGCCCAGAAAGCCCCTGGCGTTGGAGAAGGCAGACAGGCGGTAGGCATTGGAAGGACCACTTGTGGCCTCATCACATAGGTACGCCTTGAGCAGCTCTGCTCTTCTTTCTAGGCGGAACAGGCTTGAGACGTTCAGTAGAGAGGAGACTGTAGGCTTGCTGTTTCGCATGGGCTGGTTGAGCTCAGAGTGCAGGGAGGAAACCACATCAACCAGTCCGTCCCACTCTGCCTGGAGGAAGTTGCGTAGGGGTCCCAGGGATGGAGCTCCTACACTCACGACCCTGATGTCATCCATGCGTCCCAGACTTTCCTTCAGGGCCAGTAGCCGGTCCCGGGCCTGGTTGAAGTCGGGCAGCAGAGCAGGGTGGGTCAGCTCGTTGGTGCTCCTGACCCTGCCAAAGGGCTTCTGGGAGTCTTGAAGCAGAGTGTTCAGGGTGCGGCTGTGAACCTTCACCAGCTCTCCTGCCAAACCAGCACTAAAGCCCAACACCAAGGGGTCGCTGGTGTTGGCCAAAGCCTGAACACGTTGCTCCAGACTTTGCAGCAGGCCTGATAAGTCTGCAGAGATTGCAAAAGACAGTCAAAAGAAATGTTCCTCATTTACTCAGAAGAACAGATTCCTATGACTGCTGAACATGTAAGTAGGGTAATGTGCTTCAAATTCATAGGATATTAATTAGTCTTTAATGTAGTACATATATATTTTTGTTAGTGATGTAGGTAGGGTCTGTTATGGCATTGTAGCTGGTTAATAGTGAAGTGTTTCAGTACCAAAGCGGCCAGGTATGTGGATGATATCTGAGAGAGTGTGAGGCCCACTACCCCAGAGAGGAGGTGCTGCTCTGAGACAGGCCCTAGACACACTCTCCACTGCCTCCAGGTCTGCCAGGTCTGCCACATGGCCTCCATACACCAGGTTGGCTACCAACATCCCAGAGCACAAAGGTCAAAATCAAGGCCTTGTCCCTATTCTCTATTTAGTGCACTACTTTTGACCAGGGCCCTGGTTAAAAGTAGTACACTATGTAGGGAATAGGGTGCTATTTGGGACACATCCCAAGACAAATTATGTACTCATATTGTCACAGAATATTAACAATAGGTTTACCATTGACAATTCTATTTCAATTTATGGAATGGTTGTTCATTAAATTAGTTACCAGGGACTCCTCAGCTGTTACATAAGGTCTAAGTAGAGAAAGCAGTGTTACCTGCTATGTACTCCAGCGCCCCAGTTGGGTCGCCACAGACTTTGGCGATGCGGACCTGAGCATCCACCAGCGCCAGCAGGTCCTCCTGAGTCCTTGAGACAAAAAAATAAAAACATTAAAAACATGCATATAACCAATGTTGTATAATGGTAATAATAATATGTACTATTCATCATAATCTATTATGATAGTAAGTAAGCCTTGTCAGAGCCAGAATGGCCCATTGGGCAGGAGCTGTTTCTGTAGCATGAGGCAGCTTGATGTACAGCACAGGAGGTTGGTGGGACCTTAATTGGGGAGAACCGGCTCTTGGTAATGACTGGAGAGGAATCAGTGGAATGGTATCAAATACATGGTTTCCAGGTGTTTGATGACATTCCAATAGTTCTGTTCCGGGCCATTTATGAGCCTCACCAGCCTCCTGTGATGTACAGGTACACCCCCTGGACAGGACACTAGCCTGTCGCAGGGCCTTGTATCATCTGTCATCATGATAGCCAATATATAGCTTTCTCACCAGTGATAGATGTTTCCCTGGCCTAGGTATTTGTATGCCTGTCGTTGCAGCAGGACAGAGTGCAGGATGGCAGCGCGTAGCATTGGTTCCATGGTGCAGGCTGTGACACCAGAGGATGGGGCAGACAGGGTGACAGACACAACCTGACGCAGAGAAGAGCACAGCTCCTCCTTCACATCCCAGGGAGAGTCACAGACCAGACGTAGAGCACACACTCTCATCGACGCTGCCAGAGGGGAGAGGAGAATTAGTTCCAAATGGCACCATATAGAGTCCATATAGTATTTATGTCTTGGGCATGCATCCCAAATAGCCCCCCCCCCCAAGTAATGGTTAGAGAGGGGAGCCAGCAACCGGAGAGTTGGCAGTTTGAATTCCGGGTCTGATGGTAAAATCTGGCGGGAAGTGAGCTGGCATCCGGAGGGTTGCTGGTATGAAATCCTAGATGCCATTGCCTGCCGTTGTGACCTTGAGCAAGGCACTTAACCCCCACAACAATTGCCCCACAGGCGCCCAGTGTGATAGAAATGTAAGGTTAATTTCCGATTGACCCGCCATATGCAGCGTTTACCGTGAATGCAATCTCCGCCAAAGCGGGAACATTGCCTTTAAATTTCAATTAGGCTTTTGCACAGAACTTCTGTGATACCGATTGAATAGAGTCATTCATCTTTGACCAGGCGCCCATAGAGCTCTGGTCAAAGGTAGTTCACAATATATTTTGAATAGGGTGCCATTTGGGATGCATCCTAACACTTAACAGTCATAGAAAAAGAGGGTGTCTGTGATAGTATGTTATATTGAGTGGTGGAAATATGAGTACCTGGGATGGAGAGTGGGGTGTATCCTCGTGTGATAAACCACAGTCTGAAGCGTGAGTGGACCCGACTACCTGCACACAGCCCAACTGGAATGAGGCCCTCGGTCTCCACATCTGTTTGGTGCCCTGAGAATTTTAATAGGATTAGATATGAGTTTACATATTTTGAGATTACACAGGGTGGATGAGATTGGTTATTATTGTGATTCTCACCTTTGGCTGCACAGGATATCAACTGATTGAGTTGACACATCACTTCCTCATCCCATTGCTCCAACAGATGACAGTTGTTAAAGACCAGCCAATGGCCATCGTGGACAGCTATCTTCAGTGCTGAGAGGATGGCCTCCTTCTGGCATTTAGCTCCAAATGATATGACTTTCACCTGAAATCAACAGTCATTTAGAAGATTATTACACAAAACTGGAATGTTGGATATAATGGCAATATGATTTAAATTGAACACAAAACACACTGGGCACAGACCTCAATTCAATGTCTATTCCACGTTGATTCAACGTAATTCCATTGAAATTACATGGAAACAACGTTGATTCAACCAGTGTGTGCCCAGTGGGAAGGTATGTTTGTGTGTATGTAAGACATAAGCATTACCTCTCTTTTGTCTGCTTGGTACTGGGACACTTGTTTTAGCCAGTGAAGTGGTTGGATGCTAGCCCATCCATCTCTGCTTGGGCCTGGGAGTGTGACTATGACTGGCCCATCGTGTTTGTTCAGGAACCGGGAGAGGGCCTCTGGGGAGCCGGTGTGAGGGGCCCCAGTCACCGCTGACTGCACGGGCTGGCCCAGGTGACAGGCAGCCAGGTCCTCAGCCACAGCAGCCAGCGAGTGGGGCAGCATGGTCTTCCAGAGGAGAGCCCTCTGCAGCATGGACAGGTGGGAGTGAGAGTGACAGGGGACAGGCCCCACCACTGTGGAAGAGGGGAAGCGCAGGTACTCCTGCCACTGGCTGGGAGAGGTGGCCAGGGATGAGAGCAGCCCTTTGAAGGCTGGGATGTTTTGCAGCCGGAGGACCTCTGTGTGGGTGTGAGGAGGCATCCAGCCGAGGAGCACATGATGCTGAGATGGAGAGGTAGATGGTGGAGGTGAGGCTGGTGTGGAAGCATCTACTGGGAGGTCCATCTCTCCTAGGCCCCTGAGGAAAGCCAACCGCTCCACCTCTGAGCAGCCCTCGTTGTGCAGGAACAGAGCCACAGACACCAGGAGCCTCAGCAGGGTCGCATGGCTCTGGAACAGGCAGGGCCGGTACTGGGCTAACAGGTGAGATACCATCCTATGTGTGATCTCTGCCATGACCGCCGCTGTCACTACCTCTCCACTAAAGGTAACATCTGGCCGGCCCTTCAGGACTAACGTCCCCCTCACAGCGAACAGGAAGTTCCTCAGGGGGAACAAGTAGAAGGGGGAGAGGCGTGCCACCTCCTGCAAGGCCTGGTAGAGGGCTGTGGCCAGCCCTGCCACTCTGTGGAAGTCAGCCAGGAGGGGCTTGTGGCGCTCCAGCTCCATACTCAGCTCCATAATCTCAGCCTGCAGCTTCTGGCAGGCTGTCTGACAGGCCGACACCCGGGGGAGGAACTCGGGGTCCTGCAGCAGAGGGGTGAAGGACTGGAGGATGTACTCCATTAGAGAGACCTGGGGAGATGGAATAAATCCTTCGCTATAAACCCATATTGTGAATCCAAAATTGCACCCTATTCCTTATGTAGTGCACAGGGCTCTAGTTAAAAGTAGTGCACTATCTAGTGAATAGGGTGCCATTTGGGATGCAAACATACAGTATAACACAGAGTAATATACAATATTTTAAAGCCAGAGAAATAGAGGTGGCATTCTTATTGGGTCACCTCTTCCTGGCACAGTTTGTCCTGCAGTGCCTTCTTGTCGGTGTTGACGAGACACTGCTGAACCCACAGCTCCAGACACTCGGACTGCACCAACTCTGTCAACATGAGCTCCTGCACCTCAGTGGAGCTCAGAGAGAGGTCAATGACACGCACCTCAGACAGGATAGACGGGTGAATCTCTGTGGGGACACAATGGAGAATTAATGTAGTAACCTAGTACTTTCATTGGGTCCTGTCCAGGGGGTGTACTTGTACATCAAGCTGCCTCACGCTATAGAAACAGGAGATAGGCTCCTGCCCTATAGGCCGTTCTGGCTCAGACTACTACTACTTTCATGAGCAGAAATAAATTAAGTATGTCCTGGTATTATATATATTTCCTACCATTGAGTATGAGTCTGACTGGTAGTGGGGTGCTGAGGAACAGGCAAAACTCTGGATGGGCCGTCTGAACAGGTCGTCTCAGACCAGGAGAACGGCTCCCTGCCGGCCGCACCAACACCTCCAGGAACTCTGGGCTGGGGACTGCTCGCTCCACGTGGGTCACCAACACCCTCAATCCTGCACGGAAACAATATGATAGCCTTAGTCTGTTTGTGCCATAATGCCAAAACTTCACTCATGTCATGTTTGGGTTGACAATGACAGCAATGTAGTTTGCAAGAGCACAAACAGCTAATATATGCCATTTTATCCAAAGCAAATGAGTCATGCTTGCATATATTTTACATATGGTTGGCCACAGGAATTGAACCCACAACCTTGGCGGTGCAAGCACCATGCTCTACCAACTGAGCCATACTGGACCACATCTGGGACCACCAGGCTCACAATATGATGTGAGTGAGGGACAAAGAGTAAAGCCCCTCAAGGAAAGAAACCCGTATCAGTCTCAGACATCAAAATGTACCTCCAGCACAATATGTACTAACTCCATTAGATCACCTTTCTCTGCACCCTGCCTGACTTTGTCCAGCAGGTCTGGGTCATCAGCACTGACCACAAGCTCATACTCTCCCTCCCTCTGAGCTGTGGTGTCGTCCCCTGGAAGCTGGCCTGATGGGGAAGCAACATACACAATCAACGTTTCTCAAACACAATATACAAATCAGTTTTTGTTTGACTTTAACTGTGAAGTTTCCCATAGGTAAAGATCTAGGATCAGCTTCCTCTCCCTCAATCCTAACGTTAACCATTAGTAGGGAAAACACAAAACTTACTCATGATCAGCCACTAGGGGCAACTTCACCCTACTCCTAGTTGCTCACCTGTCAGCAGCATGGCCTGGGCACTCATCTCCTCATGTTGCTGAGCGTCTGCCAGCAGGGGCCAGTGTTGAGCCCAGGGGCCTCTGTATCCCCACAGCAGCAGCTTGAGCACCAGCCTGGGAGGCACCCCGAGCACCAGGCGTTGGTCCACCCCTACAGCCCTAGCCAGGGCCATCTGCAGCTCTGCTCCCATAGGGATGGGGACATGGAGCGGGGCTCCAGGTGGCCCAGGGGCCACGGAGGCAGAGTTAGGGAGTAGAGAGGTCCTAGGGTCCTCAGGGTTGATGTTAATGTGTCCAGACAGACACAGCTCCCTCCACTTCCCCAATAGCACCATCCGTACGTCTGGCACAAATGGACCCAGGTAGGTGATGGTGGCAGCCAGGAGCAGAGCGTCCCCTGATATGGTCTGGTTATTCATCTCTGTCTCCTACAGAAGAGAGGAGAAGTGGAGCATGTTATGGTTCTTTACTCTCTAGAATAAATAAAAAATAGCATTATTGTTAAAACATCAATTCATTGATGATTGATTAAAATGTAAATTATTTACTGTAGGTAAATATAGCAGTAAGTGTTTAGAAATGGAACTCTATTCCCAATATAGTGCACTACTTTTGACCAGGACCCATAGTCCAAGTGCAAGTAGTGCACTATATAGGGAATAGGGTTCCATTTGGGACATAACCATTGGTATATTAGTATGAGTGTTACGGTGTGTTTTTAGTACAAGTGTTACTTACCTTTGCTGCAGCAGTCCAGTCAGTGATGTGACACTGGACCTGCTGTACTGCAGCAGCAGCCTCTCTCTCCAGGGTCTCAGCCTTACGCAGCTGGGCGGTCAGCTCCTCCAGGTCCATTCTGAGGAACTGCTGCTGTCTCTCCATGTCCTCCAGCTGCTCCCGGGCCTCCTCCTCCTGCAGCCTGGTGTAGTATCGCAATACACGTTAGTTATTTATTCACAAGAGCATTTATTCAGGGCCACCTGCTCAAATGCTTACAATCTTCAACCTTTCCGACTTACTTCTGGTCCTATATCTTGGTTGAAGATGGGAAGGTTAAGACAACGTAATAATTCCATACGGAAGTGTTAGAAAATAAACAAATTCATGGGACCAGCGCCATTTCTGGATTCTACAGGATTAGCATTGAAAACATGACCAGTGAATGGGAAATCCAGTAATAAAGTGGCTGTAGATCATTTTAAAAACGTCTAAATGAATAGAGTGACAGTAAAACAGTTATGACGTGTTTGCTGAGTACTTAGCTGAAATTCACTACGATTGTGCTTATTTTTCACTTTGATGGCGAACGTTCTGTGCTGCTACCACTCACTCAGTCATTCCGAATGCACAAAGAGTTATGGTATATTTGAATCCTCTTGTCTTAACCGGCATCTAAAATTGATTAAATAGTTTTTTTCCTCACCAATCTACACACAATACCCAATAATGACAAAGCAAAAACAGGTTTTCAATTTTTTTTGCAAATGTATAAAAAATAAATACATGAAATGTCATTCAGCCCCTTTACTCAATTCTTTGTCGAAGTACCTTTGGCAGCAATTACAGCCTTGTGTCTTCTTGGGTATGACGCTACAAGCTTGGCACACCTGTATTTGGGGAGGTTCTCCCATTCTTCTCTGCAGATCCTCTCAAGCCCTGTCAGGTTGGATGGGGAGCATTGCTGCACAGCTATTTTCAGGTCTCTCCAGAGATGTTTGATCGGGTTCAAGTCCGGGCTCTGGCAGGGCCACTCAAGGACACTCAGAGCCTTGTCCCGAAGCCACTCCTGCGTTGTCTTGGCTGTGTACTTAGGGTCGTTGTCCTGTTGGAAGGTGAACGGTCACCCCAGTCTGAGGTCTTGAGCACTCTGGGGCAGGTTTTCATCAAGGATCTCTCTGTACTTTGCTCTGTTCATCTTTGCCTCGATCCTGACTAGTCTCTCAGTCCCTGCCGCTGAAAAACATCCCCACAACATGATGCTGCCACCACAGCATGATGCTGCCACCACCACCATGCTTCACCGTAGGGATGGTGCCAGGTTTCCTCCAGACGTGAAGCTTGGCATTCAGGCCAAAGGGTTCAATCTTTGTTTCATCAGACCAGATCATCTTGTTTCTCATGGTCTGAGAGTCTTTAGGTGCCCTTTGGCAAGCTCCAAGCAGGCTGTCATGTGCCTTTTACTGAGGAGTGGCTTACGTCTGGCCACTCTACCATAAAGGCCTGATTGGTGGAGGGCTGCAGAGATGGTTGTCCTTCTGGAAGGTTCTCCCATCTCCACAGAGGAAGTCTAAAGCTCTGTGAGACTGACCATCGGGTTCTTGGTCACCTCCCTGACCAAGGCTCTTCTTTTTAAAAAAAAATTCATTTTAGAATAAGGCAGTAACGTAACAAAATGTGGAAAAAGTCAAGGGGTCTGAATAATTTCTGAAGGCACTGTATATCACACACACACACACACACACACACTCCCCCTACTGTCCTTCAACCACATTACAACAGGACATCACACCTGGCCACACGCAGCCGGGCACGGCTCTCCGCCATGCGCACTTCCAGCTGTTTCTTCCGGGCCTCCTGGGGGGCCATGTGGCGCTGGACACAGGCGTACTGGTACACTGCCCTCACCCAGCGGCACAGGGACTCACACGCCCGGCTCACGCCTCGCACAGACTCCGGCAGGAATGCTCGCTGCTGCACTATCTGGCCCAACTGACGGAACAGGTCGTCGCTCAACATGGAGCAGTCAAAGAACTCCAACTCCTAAGAAAAAACAGACAAGACGGATTACCTCATGATAGGAGATAATCCTTGAACTTTGATGTATGTCACTGCAAACTCGCTGTGCATATTACAAAGAGTATCCCTTAAAAAAAAAGGATAGGTAAGGTCGTAACTTTCTTAATTCTTCTCATATATTCTACCAATAGAAAATTATGCCACATCCAGTTTGACCCCTGACCTGGAAGAAGTTGGACTGTCCCAGCAGCTGTTTGCTGCTCTCCCAGTTGCGTGGGCGGTTGAATAACAGGCATATGGCGTCCATAACGATGATCACTCCGTCTGGGGGGAATCTGTAGCGTCGCACTTCAACCAGGCCAGATGTGCTCAGAGACTGAAGAGCATCGAGTGCAGTCTGGTACAGAGGACTCACCTAGGTAAGTCCAAGGAAACATAACATACAGCATTAGGAACATAATAAGACAAACATCAAAATGTCCCGCTTTTCCCTACATAGTCCACTACTTTTGACCAGAGCCCTGTGGGCCCTGGTCAAAAGTAATGCACTATACAGGGAATAGGCAGGCGTAGTGTGCTAATGTGATAAGTGTGATGATTGCAGAGAGGTGAGTGTGACTGGGACCATAGAGATAGAGATGCTGATGTTATTATCTATGAGTGGGACCTCCTTGAAGGCGTGCTCTGCCTGCTGTTGGGCCTGATGAGTCTGTTCCTCCAGGTGAGATAGTCTGTTCTCCTCCAGTAGACAGTGCTGCCGGGCTTGCTCACACAGTGTTCGCTCTGTGTCTGTCACACGCTGCAGCGGGTACAGGCACTGGAACACACACAGACAGGCAAACTCATTAATATGGGATATCTCCCAAATGGCACCCTATTCCCTATGTAGTGCACTACTTTTGACCCGGTCCATAGGGCTCTGGTCAAAAGTAGTGCACTATATAGGTATAAGGATGCCATTTGGGACGCAGACATGGTGATTTCCAAAGTTACAGCACAGATCATGTTGAACACTGAAGATAAGCAATGCATAACTCAGTGCTCTCCTTAGAGCCAGACATGTTAAGTTGGTTATTCCAGTTGGTTACCTGTTGTGTTTCTGCAATCTTCCTCTTCAATCTGACAACTTCCTGGCTGTGCTGCTCAGCTGTGTCTGTCATGTCTTTCACACGGGCCAAGATTGTTGACACTCTGAGGTAGCAAGATGGATACATGTAAGTTTGACACATTTTGACAGTTAGTTTTCTACAACACAAAATAGTACTAAACATTACTGTTACTGGCTTTACATTCTTAGACAAACCAATTTTCCAGGAACTTGTGTCTGATGCTTAACAGATACAAAGGAAGTCCCTGGTTGTGTACTGAATTGCACCCTGTTCCATATATAGTGCACTAATATGTCCAGCGCCCTATGGGCTCTGGTCAAAAGTTGTGCAGTATGTAGGGAATAGGGTGCCATTTGGGACACAAGCCATAAGTCCTCCTCACCTGTTAGCCTGGCCCCGGCCCTGTTCACACAGGTGGCTGCAGAGGTGGAAGAAGTGAGCGATCAGCTCCAAAAAGGTCTGGGGGCTGAAAGGCTGGAGGTCCGGGTGGAGGATGGAGGCGTATTTACAGGCAGACTGGTGGATCCCTGCCATGGCCTCAGAAATACTGGCCACTAAGCCATCTCTGTCCACTACAGAAGATACATAATAGCAACATTAGATAATACAAATTAATAAGAAATGTATACAATTAACAGAGACATTATGTAAATGTTATGTACTTGGAAAGACATCATGGTTCAGTCTCAAATGGCATCCTATTCCCTACATAGTGCACTATTTTTGACCAGAGCCCTATGAGCCCTGGTCAAAAGTAATGCACTATATAGGGAATAGGATGACATTTGGGACAAACTCATGATGAACCAACCTTTGCTTTCTGTGTCGGGTATCTGCAGGTTCTCTCTGAGGCGACGAGAGGCTGCCTCAACAAGGGACTGGGTGGACCAAGGCTGGTATACCTCCACACAGCAGCAGAGGCTGAGAGCCTTGGTCATGTGTGCCACTGCCAGGGTTACTGAGGCGTTCTCAGGATGCATCTCACTTGTGTCTGGGGAGAAGGGCAGCAGCAGGAACACATGCACATTCCTCTGGGTCTGTCTGAAATACCTGCATCAAAAGGCACAGAATGGTATTTCAAATAATGGCATTTAAGAAAGGGAATCTCATATTACACACATTTACATTTCAAATTTTAGTAGATATGTGCATCTTTCCTTACAAGCACGATTCGATACGCATCTAGATACATGGGCTCCGATACGATACAGGAACGATACTTTTAGTTTGAAACTATTAGCGATTCGATTTGATTAGTGGTACAAATCGGTGCGATTCTGTTCGATTCGATATGATGGGACTAAGGAGCCTGGGACTAAACACCTCCCTCTGCAACTGGACCCTGGACTTCCTGACGGGCCGCCCCCAGGTGGTAAGGGTAGGTAACAACACATCTGCCACGCTGATCCTCAACACGGGGCCCCCTCAGGGGTGCGTGCTCAGTCCCCTCCTGTACTCCCTGTTCACCCTAGACTGCATGGCCAGGCACGACTCCAACACCATCATTAAGTTTGCCGACGACACAATAGTGGTAGGCCTGATCACCGACAACGATGAGACAGCCTATAGGGAGGAGGTCAGAGACCTGGCCGTGTTGTGCCAGGACAACAACCTCTCCCTCAACGTGATCAAGACAAAGGAGATGATTGTGGACTACAGGGGAAAAAAAGAGGACTGAGCATGCCCCCATTCTCATCGACGGGGCTGTAGTGGAACAGGTTGAGAGCTTCAAGTTCCTTGGTGTCCACATCACCAACAAACTATCATGGTCCAAACACACCAAGACAGTCGTGAAGAGGGCACGACAAAGCCTATTCCCCCTCAGGAGACTGAAACGATTTGGCATGGGTCCTCAGATCCTCAAAAAGTTATACAGCTGCACCATCGAGAGCATCCTGACTGGTTGCATCACTGCATGGTATGGCAACTGCTCGGCCTCCGACCGCAAGGCACTACAGAGGGTAGTGCGTACGGCCCAGTACATCACTGGGGCCAAGCTTCCTGCCATCCAGGACCTTTAAACCAGACGGTGCCACCCTAGTCATAGACTGTTCTCTCTGCTACCGCACGGCAAGCGGTACCAGATCGCCAAGTCTAGGTCCAAAAGGCTTCTTAACAGCTTCTACCCCCAAGCCATAACACTCCTGAACAGCTAATCATGGCTACCCGTACTATTTGCATTGTCCACCCCACCTCACCCTCTTTTACGCTGCTACTACTCTGTTTATTATTTATGCATAGTCACTTTAACTCTACCCACATGTACATATTACCTCAATTACCTCGACTAAACTGTGCCCCCGCACATTGACTCTGTACCGGTACCCCCTGTATATAGCCTCCCTACTGTTATTTTATTTTACTGTTGCTCTTTAATTATTTTAATTTTTTACTTATCTATTTTTTACTTAACACTTATTTTTCTTAAAACTGCATTGTTGGTTAAGGGTTTGTAAGTAAGCATTTCACTGTAAGGTCTACACCTGTTCGGCGCATGTGGCAAATAAAATGTTATTTTATTTGATATGATTCAATATACTAACAATTGTTGCATGAACATTCATTTTCCATTCTAAATTAATATTTTATACTGATGGAGCTCGGGAGCTGAGCTGGATCTGTCTGAACTGACTTCTCTGAGCTAAAGGGCCCTGTGTGTGTGTGTGTGTGTGTGTGTGCGCATGTTTAACTATACTTGTGGGGACCAGAAGTCTCTACAAGAATAGTAAACAAACAACCATTTTCCCCACAAGGAAAAAGGCTATTTCTAGGGAGTTTAGGGTTAGAATTAATGTTAAGCTTAGAATTAGGGTTAAAGGTTTAGGGTTAGGAGTTAGGGTTAGGGTTAAGGGGTTAGGGAAAATAGGGGTTAGGGAAACTAGGAATCAATTGTGTCCCCACAAGGTTAGTGTGTGTGTGTGTGTGTGTGTGTGTGTGTGTGTGTGCGTGCGTATGATGTAGTGATGTAGCGTGTGAGCTGAGCCATAGGGCAGACTGAGCATGTACCACTATCAGATTAGGGGGGGGCAATTTATGTTCTTGTCCCCCCACTTTTTATCTGAAATCCTCGTCACCCACTTGTCATATAGCAGATTAAAATGTTTTGAGCTAGTAATATGTCAATATTTATCTTTAGGAATTAACTATGACATACATAGCCAATTAATATAACACAGCTTTGGATTTCACCCCCGTCTCAAAAGCTCATGGTTTTGACCGTTTGGAACTTTACAGAGGAGAGCTGCTCTCTTCTCCCGTTTCGGCCAGTGCCGCTTGCAAAAATTACTACTGTCCTTGTTATAAAATTACACCTTTACCATGTTCATGTAAAAATGACTGTTTAAAGCAGAAATATTTTGTATAGTGAACCTGGCAAGCGAAAAGCCCCAATCAGCAGTTATGTGCAATCAGCAAAATGTGAGTTGTGTTCACTCCGGTAGCCTACACATTTGGTAACAATGACCCAGCAAATTACATTGATTGCCCCTTAATTAATTAATAAAGCCTATGATTTAATATTGCAAAGCCATTTTACAAACATCAGCGTTTCCCGCACTGTGCGCACAGCAGTTATCTGACTTGTACAGTCGATCAATGTCATACGCCAGGGTTCCCCAACTGGAGGCCCGCAGGCTGAATTCGATTTTATTTGCCCCCCAACATTATTGTTCGACATAAAAGACTGTAAAAACACCAGCAAATCAGCTCCATGTGACTTTCATTTTGGAAATCTGTTACAAAGTATTCCCAAGCATAATACAGAGATATACTCTGAGTGTACAAAACATTAGGAACACTTTCCTAATACTGAGTTGCAATTCGTTGGGCATGGACTCTACAAGGTGTTGAAATCGTTCCACAGGGATGCTGGCCCATGTTGACTCCAGTTGGCTGGATGTCCTTTGGGTGGTGGACCATTCTTGATACATACGGGAAACTGTTGAGCATGAAAAACCCAGCAGCGTTGCAGTTCTTGACACAAACCGGTGCTCCTGGCACCTACTACCATACCCCGTTCAAAGGCACTCAAATCTTTTGTCTTGCCCATTCACCCTCTGAATGGCACACAATCACAATCCATGTCTCCATTTTCTCAAGGCTTAAAAATCATTCTTTAACCTGTCTCCTCCCCTTCATCTACACTGATTGAAGTGGATTTAACAAGTGACATCAATAAGGGATCATACCTTTAATCTGGCTTCATGGAAAGAGCCGATGTTCTTAATGTTTGATATACTCAGTGTATGTGATTGTGTACAAATGTAAGCAAAGTTTGAAATTATTATGTTTTAGTCAAATATTATATCTGTTTGGGCTTCTTGTGCTCAATTTGCAGTCTACAAATTATTTGTAATTATGTTCCGGCCCCCTGACCATCCCCTCAACAAAAAATCAGCCCGGGGCTGAATCTAGTTGATGATCCCTGTCATACGCAGTTTCATGCATAAAAGTGTGTTAGGCTGAAGGAGAGGACACATCAATTCAGTCACAACAGATCAGAGGTATTTTCGGAATAAGGCAGAAAAAAATAATCGGAGTACAAAAACATTAGTGAACCTGCGATTCGTAACGTTTGAATCAGTTTTTCTTACCGACGCATGCTTCCTTTGGATTGGTTTGTGCTCCCGGAGACCGATGCACTCGCATCTTAAATATTTGAACCGGGGAGCGATGCGTATCGGTGAATCCTTACATCCCTACATTTTAATCAATTAGCAAACGCTCTTATCCAGAGTGATTTACAGTTAGTGTATAGTAAGTAATTTGTAGAAACACCTATTTTCTTACTTCTCAAGGGCCTGGTCATCTCGTAGGCGATTGCGTGAGTTCTTGACGACAGCGTTGATTCTCAGCACCAGATTCTTCAGCTCCTCGTCAGAGTAGAGCCCTGGGAAGGTCCCGTCAGCCATCACCACTAACAGTTCATCTCTGGCGGCCTGACTGGTCTCCTCGTGGACAAGTATCACCACATTGCCACCGTGCACGCCTGCCTGGCCACCTGCCTCCCGCAACATCTCGCGCAACTGACTCTCATTCCCAGGATGCACCTCCATCAGCTGATAGCCAGTGAGATAGGCAGCTAAACGCACTGTGGTCTTTCGGCCTGTGCCTCTCACGGCCCCAAACAGAGCCCCATGCCCGCCAGGTATGAGCAGAGCCCTGAGAACGTGCACCAGCTGACATACCCTCTGCCTGTGCACAGTGTAACAAGAGGTGCTACTGTAGTTATCATCAAACTCCTCTTCTTCCTCCTCCTCTTTGCTTTTGACTGTGAAAGCCAGCTGCTGAACTAGTAACCCCAGGTCTCTTTCCAGGTAGGCAGAGTTGCGTTTGAAATTGTGCTGCTGAGACATGGAGGGGAGTGGCTCCAATAGCTCTACACTAAAGACCACATGTTGAATAGCAGTCTCCATGTCCTGCAGCAGTTGTAAAGGCACAAGGGACCTGGCTGGGCTAGGCTCAGTCTGTGGGGTCTGTTCACACAGTTTATGGCTCCTCTTCCAGTCTGACTGATTGACTGGTTTAGGTCCTTTTGGAGGAGAGGGGTTCAGGGCTTGATGTGAGCTTGATGTGAGCTGTGTCAGTTGAAAGAAAGACATATCTTCCTTGAGGGGTTTCTTCACATGCTTTTTCTTGACATTTTCTTGTTTCTTGGGGTAGATCTCACCAAATAAATCATCCTCACTACTGCCCCATGAGCTGGAGTCTGAGCTGCTCACCCTGTCAGAAAACTCTGCTTGCTCCTCCTGTTCTGTGATTGTTTCGGCCTTCATGGGCAAAGGGGACTTGGCAGGCTGCTTTGGAGTGGATGGTCGCTGATGGCTTGACTTCTGGTAGTCTGTTGGTGTAGGAGGGGGTGTATATGTGCTAGGCCTAGTTGATGCAGCACCTGGGGTGTCCTCTGCTCTGGCAGTCTGGGGTTTAACTCTCATCCTGCTGCTGTAGTGTCTCTCTGACACCTTGGCCATCAGTGATACCAGAGCTTGGCCCTCGTCCTCTGAGCACAGCCGGTCACCGAATGTGCGCAGACACTCGTGCATCCAAAGACGAGCTATGTTGAGCATGTTGGCTGCAGGGCCCAGTGTGGCTGGCGCAAAGCTAGGAAGGGCAGAGGAAGAGTGAACAACCCTGAGGCTAACCTTCTTCTGGAGTGGTTGTCTGTTATAGTTACGCGGTGCCCATAAGCATATTCCCTGAAACACCTTCTGCAGGTCATGCATGGAGAAGAGGAAGTGTGGCCTGTGGACGTTGGGTTGGAACTCCTCACACACGGCATAATACAGGTCTAAGGTTGCAGTGATGATACATCGTGCCATATCCGTGTACCTGGGCATACATGGGAACTCTTTGAGCCAGTTCTGTAGCCGTGGAGAGTGGATGGAGAATAAAACATCTACAGACAAACTAGGCAGCACCAAGATGGAGAAGTGACGTGAGAGGCGGGAGGAGATCTGATTGCAATCTGATTGGTTGCCCACTCCTGATGTGCGGCAGGTACCCAAGTAGCTGATAGCTCCGGAACTAAACAGCTTGAAATGATAACCATCTGAAGTTAGAACGCCGCCCCGAGAAATACACTGCCGCAGTGTCTCCAGAGCCATGGACGTCTTTCCAAAAGCATCTACAGTAAAGAGACGAGCAGAGTTTGGGTTATCATTAGCTTTATCTTTGAATTACATTCATAATGAAAAATATTCACAAAAATGAATCTTCAAAAATCATTAGAAATTATGGGCACCGGTTGAAAAGTAGCAAAAGTAGCGCACTATATAGGGAATATGGTGCCATTTGCGATGCACACTAGATTTATCTTTAAATTAGATTCATTATAAAAAATTTAAAATTTAACAAATACTAATTCACAAACGCAGGGTTCCTACTAACTCACCACAGGGAGCTTCATGGAGGTCATCCACAAACAGGAGCAGTCCAGGCTGTTTGAGCATAGTACCCATTGTTCCTAGCCGGGTCTTCTGGCAGCCCATGCTCTCCAGCACGTTGCGCAGGTCAGTGGATCTCAGGCGTGGGCTGGCAGGCAGGCGGATGTGTGGCCTGTCCTGACTTAACAGAGAATGACACAGCATGGTCTTCCCTGAGCCTGCCTCTCCCACCAGCATCGCTGGCTGGTGGGCCTCCAACATCAGGTCCAGCAGGTAGGCATATTTCTCATACTGTGTGAATAAATCAAATCAAATCAAATAACATTTTATTTGTCACATGCGCCAAATACAACAGGTGAAATGCTTACTTACAAGCCCTTAACCAACAATGCAGTTTTAAGAAAGAATACCTAAAAAAAAAAAAAAAAAAAAGTAACAAAGGACAGCATTGATGTATTTCAAAATAGACAGTGTGATATAAATACAATCAGGGGTTGGAACCGGTTCAGGGAACAGAACCGAAAACTATTTTACATTTTATTTTATTTTAATTCTGGTGCTGCTCTGCTCACACAAGCTTGTTAGCTAGCTAGCTAGTTTTTGGTCCAACGCTAAACCAACTCTCTGAAGTTCAAAAACATTAAAAGTTCCTTCATAGAAAGCCGGTCCTCCATAAGCATAATTCTGTGGGCCTAATTCAGATAATGCATGTCATAACAACAAGATGCCCAGCGCTTCAAAGCAAGCCTCCTCCTCCATCCTCCCTCGCTCTCTCCTCACCCGCAAAATTTCAGTCGCATCTCGCGCCCTATATTTGTCTGTTGAATGCATGTTAACAGCTATAGCTTTTGCCCGCTCCATAGCAAGCTGCTCTATCCAAAGTGATTGGTGAAGTAATTTAATGTCGAACTAAATGTAAAAAAATATATATTTCAGAGGTTTAAAAAGGAACAGAAAGGAAGTGGAATGTAACGGGGGAAAAAATGCTTCTGTTCAGAACGAAACGATGAGAAAATAATTTTGGTTCCAACTTCTGGATATAATACAGTAAAATCAGTAAAACCACACATTTTGACAGTTGGAAGATTGGGGGGCTAACCTGGGGGACAGTTGTGTAGGCCATCTGTGGGCTCTTGCTCCTGGAACAGTTGATGGGGTTGCTAGTGTCTCCAATCATCCCCTCACTCAGGTTAAAAAAGTGTTCAAAGACCGTCCCCTCAGAGGGAACCTCCACTCTGTACCGGCTCTCAAATAGCGCCTCACGAGCTAGCAGGTCAAACTGGGGCCAGTGTCTGAAATATAGAAATTATATTTTGTATTATCAGTTGTGAGATTATAAGACTTGACTGAAAATAAAACTGAATAACAGTGTCTGACCTGGGATGCAGGTGTCCGCCAAAGCCCCAGATATAGGCCACCAGAAAGAGGTTCCTGGCTTGAATCTCTTGCTGAGTGGAAGGGATCAGGGCATCTGTGCATGTCGGGTGAGCTCCAACTGGGTTAATTTCTTACAGCATTAGGAGAGAGAGGCAACTAGATGTTACAAAACTAAACTAAGAGCTCATATTATGAACATGCACTGTACAGTTTATTAATGAACATAGTATGCTGCTATTTACAATACCTCTTTTGTCTGTCGTCCTTGGTGTAGCTTTTAAACCCCGTCCTTTCCCAAACTGCTCCAGAAGGGCATGCAGAATCCTAATGAATGAATTCACTTCTTGCAGTCCATAAGTGATGCCTTTACTGAATTTACTGGATCCATCTCCCTCACCCTGCATGACAGGTGTGAGTGCCTTGTGCCTAATGAAAGTGAGTGTGCTGGAGAAAAGGTCCTCAGCCAAACGGTTCCACATCTTCAGGGTCCCCTGATCCAGACTGTGCTCTCTGTAGAGAGCATCCATTTCGACCTTCCACACAGCCTTCCACAGGTCCTTCCCAGAGAGATACACCAGGTTGCAGCGGGTCACTGCAGAAGGGGCTGCATCTCCCAGGTCTGTGACCTCTGCCAATAGTTTCAGCTCCTTGTGGGATGGCCGAACCTTCTCTCCCGAGGAGAGGCACAGGAAGGGATCCTCAGGATTGCAGAGGGTGCTGAAGGGGTCCAACCAACCAGGCTGCCCCAGTGGCTCTCCATCCATCACCAGCCACTTCCCCTTCCTCGTCTGACCCCCCTTCTTCTTCTTTTTAGAGGTGGCGGTGGCTGAGAAGTCATGCCGCTCTGAGTCTCTCAGTACTTTTGTGAAAGCGCCATCCCACCAGGACCCCTGCTGTTCATAGCAGCCCCCAAAAAGCTCCTCGTGGGACAAAGCATTGGGGAATAAGACCACGGTGTCAACGGAGCTCCAGTTTGAAGTAGAGGACTGGTAATCAGTTTCCGTGCCATCTCCTTCACTGGTGAGATCCTCATCAAACTCGGCCTTCTCTGCCCTGGCTGCCAGTCTACGCAGTGCTCCGGCCAGGGCACGGTAGCAGGTTGTCTTTCCACTCCCAGCAGGGCCAACAAGAAGAACTGCTCTGGAGAGCTTCATAGCCTGGTAGAGGGTGAGTGCATTGCGCAGCACTCTGGTATCAGCATGGAACCCTATTTGTTGCAGCTCCTCTGTAACTGCGCTCTTCAGGAGGTTCTGTTCCCCTTCCTCCTCAATGTACTGTTGGAGAATAGGGTGGGAACGCGCCATTGGAAAGATCTCTTCAAATATGGTGCGGAACTGTGAGGCTTTCTTCTGCTCAAAGATAGCAGATAGTAGGACTGACAAAACGCTGTTGACAACAGCCTGCTCCTCCAACACAGCTTGCATGAGGGCAGCAGACTGGTTGGCACGCTTGTAGTGGGTAGACTGGGGACCTTTGTCTCCTCCAACTGTCTCAGGTGGTTTGAGTATCCCATCCAGAGGAAGCCTTGGAGCGTCAGGTTCCTCCCTCAACACTTTCTCCATATGCACATCCAGCCGGCTGTTGCTGCGTAGGTGTGTCCCAGAGGCAGCGATGACGTTTCTGAGAAGAACCATCCAGGATGTCTGCTCACCACTGACAGAATCAGGGAGACAGAGGGAGTCTTTGGCTAGGCTAAAGAGGGAGATCAGCCGTCGACTTATAGACACAGCATCTGAGAAGCCCAGGGAGACTAGCATGACCTCTGTGATGATCCTGTAGTCAGGGTGGGCCAACGAAATGGGCCTGGTCGCCACTCGCAGATTCTCTGGGACCTCTGTTGTGTATCCTCTTGATGAAATGATTACACAGCCATAGCTCAGTTTGGCAAATATGTTTTTCCCAGAAAAAGACATCTGGCACTCAAGTTCATTAGACATCTTGCACTCTTTCCGAATGTTGCCATGGCTGTCTCTTGGTGAAACTGTACCATCTCCGTTTGGGTAGGAGAAACTGGATGAAGGCTTGGTGTGGGTCTCAAAGCCTTTCTGCTGAGTATTTCTCTGCAGGAAGGACAGGGATTGGTGAATGTCTGAAAGATGCTGCCCTAGTTGGGAAAGCACTCCCTGAGTCATCAGGTCTACACAGTCCAGCACCAGCCAGGCCCCGGTCTGAAGGGCCCCAAACAGCATCTGCTGGACGATAGAGGGACTTGTATTGACACAACACTGTAAGGAGATGACCTGACGTCCCAGTGCTCTTCCTAACTGAACCACAGTCTTCCTCTTTCCAGACATGCAAGGTCCGCTCACAAAGCCACACCTGTAGCTGGTCAGAGCCAGGAGGATCCCCAGTATTGCTCTATCCGTGGAGGGTGTGTTCACTAATATCCAGTGCTCTGGGCCAAGGTATTCGTAACCATAGGGCAGCTGGGTGCCCAAGATTTCAACATAGCACAAATCATGGTGGCCCTCTTGTGTTGTTGACTCAGTCTGAGTGTCTGTAATCAGATGGTACTTCATCAAACTCTGCCACTCAAAAGACGACTTGAGGTCACACTTTACCTCCATGAGCCTAGATAACTGTTGAGAGTGATTCATGGTGAGTAAAACCAGAGCATGCAGCACTGTCACCATGCGATGGGTGGTCATTGATTTGTCAATATCACCCGTGATACCGTCTTGTATGGCTTGGCACAAGCTCTGGAGTTTGGAAGCATTTTGTGCCTTGATGCGGGGCCACTTGACCGGAGCTGAGGCCTGGTAAGCCCTCCGAACTTCACTGCACCATAAAGCCTCTTCAGCCACTAGTAGGCATTGCAGTGGGTACTCAGAGAGTATGCTCCACATAGAAGACAAATCGTTCACGCTTTTTGCTTCTTTACCCTCCTCCTTTCTGAGGGAGTTTGATGGGCTGGTGTAGCGAAACGGGTCAGGTGACGGGGAGTCCCCAACTTTCTTCTCCCGTTCCGGGTCCAGTTCCAACAGCTCGACCTGTTGTCGTGCCACAGCACACTGCTTCATGAGCTGCATCATGGCCTGTTGGAGCTGCAGCTCCAGGAGACACAGCCACACCAGGGGGTTGAGGTTGGGCTCCAGAGGGCAGAGGAAGGGCACATGCTCCCTGGCACTCCCATACACCCCCTGTACACACATCTGGGTGTCAGAGAGATCCAAGCCACTACTCAGATCTGTCACATCAGGGGGCATGTCAGTTTTGCTGTCCACCTCCAGCCAGCGCACCCCTCGGAAACACTTACGCACCAGAGGGAGCAGAGCGGAGGGCGTGGGGTGCAGAGAGAGGAGTTTGATCACCTCCCCATCGCTCAGGAAGCAGAGGCGAGGGAACTCCCCGCGGGGTGAGCCCAGGAGGTACAGCAGCTGGTTGGAGATACCCTCCATGGTGGACAGACCCTCTACAAGGAGAACACGGAGGTAGTGTCCATGGAAGCAGCAAGTCAACTCTGTTGTCTTCCTGAGCCGCACTATGTTCAGCACGTGGGGGTCACTTAGTGTAGTTTGGATAATCTCCTTGAAGGTCTTATCCACAGGACGGAACTTGTCCAACTGTGGTCAAAGAAAAAGACAACATTATCATTCAGTTATCCTGCATCACCCTCCAAAACAATCTATAAATGTGGCAGTTGTGGCAGAGGCATAAGAGACCCTGAACTCACCAGTTCTGCCTTCTGAACACTGACAGTTGTCTCGTAGAACATTTTGCTAAGGAAGACCCACTTCTGCTGGTACCTTTCAAAGAAATCAAGCAGTTCCTCTACATATTGCAAGTAGAGGAACATATGGAAGTAAATCACAGTTAGTAAAAAAGTACTATAAAGATGTCACAATAGGAGGACATTGTTAAAAACAGTATGGTCTTGAAAACAGTCATATTTATGTAAAGAAATATCTATCCACCCAAGCTTTTTGATCACTAGGGGTCTGGTCAAAAGTACTGCACTTTATAGGGGATAGAGTGCCATTTTGGGATGTTTACATTACCTAGTTCTTGCAACAACTGCACCCAGTGTTCCACCTCCGGCCTGAACTCAGCAACGTGAGGAGAGAGCAGCATGTTGGACAGAGTCATCACACTGTCCTCTGTCTGAGCCAGGAGTGTCTCCAGACCTAAGAAATCAATCAATCACTACAACTTTACTTACTACTTTTAACAGAAACAATGACAACATGTTAAACATATCTGAACCAAAGGTGATTTACATTAGAAAATATAATATAAAAAGGTGGTGTCAGTAATGTTACTTCTGATGATTATTTGATTATTAACACAGAAAACACTCCTTTCTCCCCGTTCAATCTCACCAATGATGGTGAAGGTGCCACTGTCACGGGAGTGCTGTTTGGGGGTTTGGTAGTTTGAGACCAGGCCATTAGTGGGCTTCTTTCTCCGTGTGGCACCAAGTTGTGGTTTATCTTCCTGCCACACAGTAACAATGAACTTGGCCAGTCGGAACAGTGCCGCTTCCCATCGTCTCTGAAGCTTCCTGAAGGCCTGTTCCATGTCCGCCTCTGCCTTCGCCTCCTGGTAAATCTGGCAAAGTCCCACACAGAGAGTTAAGTTACCCTGAGTAAGACTGCATTCCAAATGGCACCCTATTCCCTATATCAGGACTGCCCAACCCTGTTCCTGGAGAGCTACCGTCCTGTAGGTTTTTGCTCCAACCCTAATCTAGCACACCTGATTCTAATAATTAGCAGGTTGATAAGATGAATCAGGTTAGTAACTCCTGGGGTTGGAGTGAAAACCTACAGGAGGTTAGCTCTCCAGGAACAGGGTTGGGCAACCCTGCCCTATTTAGTGCCCTTCTTTTGACCAGGGCTAATGTGTTGAAGGGGGATGTTCTGTTCTCACCTTGCTGATCTTATTCTGGTGCTCTCTCAGCTTCTTGGACATCAGGTCAGCTACAGTGAGGTTCCACTCTGGTGCATAAAGTAACCCCATACCTAGAAGAAGAGGAGACAGGAGTGTGTTATGTAAATCATGGACTCATGTAAATCAAGTTAGGAAGATGATTGCTATTCAATTAACCAGTCATGGCTGTGTCTCAAATGGCACCAGTTTTTAGGGCTCTGGTCAAAAGTAGTGCGCTACACTGAGTGCACAAAACATTAACAACACCTTCCTAATATTGAGTTGCACCTGAATTAACCTGGTCAGTCTATGTCATGGAAAGACATAGACTGACCAGGTGAATTCAGGTACAACTCAATATTAGGAAGGTGTTGTTAATGTTTTGTACACTCAGTGTATATTGGGAATAGGGTGCCATTTGGGACACCTCCCAGTTCTCTCATTAGCACCCACTGCTCACTGTCAAATTCAGGAAATCAGTCGGGCTTTCAACTTACTCTTGAAAGTTGTAATAGTAGAATGCACAAAGTACAAGCTTTAAAACTGCGGAGGTCGCATGGGTCCCGAGGTGGGGATTTGTTACTACGCCACACTATTACGGAAGCACTGGTCTAACCTTTGAAGATGTTCCTCCAGTGTTTGTGTTTGAGTGTGGGGCTGCTGAGTTTTGCCAGCACAGGGAGCTGCTGGTTGAAACACTCAAGGATCCCCAGGGTCTCCTGTAGCACAGCATCTTGGGAAGGGATGGTCCTGGCCAGGGATACTGCCTGCTGCAGCCACTCATCCACCTTCTCCTGGGCTCTCGACACAACAAACTGACACCAAACATTTATATTTTTACATTTTTGTCATTTACAGACGCTCTTATTCAGATCGAATTACACTCAGTGCATTCAGCTAAGTTTAGTAGGAAAAAACAAACACGTATCACAATTCTTGCAAGTCTTGCCTCTGTAGCTCAATTGGTAGAGCACGGCGTTTGTAACGCCAGGGTAGTGTGTTCGATCCCCAGGACCACCCATACGTAAAAATGTATGCACACATGACTGTAAGTCGCTTTGGATAAAAGCGTCTGCTAAATGGCATATTATTATTATTATTATTATTATTATTATTAATATCAAATTAACAGTAGATGAAAATATGAGTCCTTCCCATATCAGATTCAATAAGCATACTAGGTTCCTGTTGTCACGTAATATTATTATTATTATTATTATTATTATGTTGTATGGTGGGAAAAATGACAAACTCGGTTATGCACATGCGCTGTATAAGCCTTAAACCTGTATATTTCCACACTTCTGTTTCTGTCATGTAAGAAGAAGCTAGTATTTTTCCTCGTCTCTGTGTAACTTGGTCATGCGACCAAAGACAAAGAGCCTCTGAGAGTGACCACAGTTTTTGAGTCCATCCTGTTATTTTCGTATCACACAGCCGTGTGGAGATATGAAGGAGATATGAAGAGAACAGAGGCTAGCTTGAGCAGCAGCAGCTAGATAGTAACAAAACTGGCGTTATCACTTGTTTGTGTGCCCACCAGGCTCTCACACATCTGCTAAACTGCCACGTAGACAAAGGTTATAAAAGCTGAGACCCAACTCTTGTTTGTTGGGCCCTTAACTCTGCACTGTTGAGTGGATTGTTAACTGCTCCAAATTTGCAAATCTTATAATAAAGTTGTTTGAAGAATCTACAGTCTCTCTTCCTTTTGATTAGAATTTCCAGTTGTTAATCAACAGAGAGGCTATTAGAATAGAGAATAGAGCAACCAGACAGAAACCTTGCTGAAGAGCAGCAGCCTCCACTCTTGGATCTGGGCAGCGGAAACAGTCATCAGCTCCCACAGTCCTTTGCGAGCTTCCATCTTCTGCCTGGCTGCTGTTACAAAAGTCAAATCCAGAGGGTTTCCTACAGAGGGGACACAGATAAGAGAGTGAGGAAGGAGCAATGTAACCACAGGGCAGGCACCCTTCCTCAGTCTCTCTCTAATCTCACCTCTGAGACTTTTACTGGTCCTGCTGAGCTCTGTCAGGTGAGCAGAGACAGCATTCACCTGTCTGCACATGATCTTGAGCTTGTTGAGCATTTGTGCAGCATTCTGAGTGGGGTCCAGATATGGTCCAGAGGTGGCTTTGGTCACCATCTCGTCCAGGTCGTGGGCCAGGGAGGAGAAGGTGTTGTCCAGGGTGTCAGCCATAGAGGGAAGACGCTGGCACACTGTCTCTGCTCCCTGCTTCAGGAGAGGAACAAAAATGTCCCACAGGTCCAGCATCTAAATACGGGGGGAGGGGGGGATAAACACACAACATTTGGAAATGTACTGCGATATGTATGTGAATAAAGAATTAAAAACAAACAATATCTGTAGGTACAGTGCCTTGCAAAAGTATTCATCCCCCTTGGCGTTTTTCCTATTTTGTTGCATTACAACCTGTAATTTAAATGGCTTTCATGTAATGGACATACACAAAATAGTCCAAATTGGTGAAGTGAATTTAAAAAATAACTTGTTTAAAAAAATTCAAAAAAATAAATAACAAAGTGGTGCGTGCATATGTATTCACCCCCTTTGCTATGAAGCCCCTAAATAAGATCTGGTGCAACCAATTACCTTCATAAGTCACATAATTAGTTAAATAAGGTCCACCTGTGTGCAATCTAAGTGTCACATGATCTCTCACATGATCTCAGTATATATACACACCTGTTCTGAAAGGCCCCAGAGTTTGCAACCATGAAGACCAACGATCTCTCCAAACAGGTCAGGGACAAAGTTGTGGAGAAGTACAGATCAGGGTTGGGTTATAAAACAATATCAGAAACTTTGAACATCCCACGGAGCACCATTAAATCCATTATTTAAAAATGGAAAGAATATGGCACCACAACAAACCTGCCCAGAGAGGGCTGCCCACCAAAACTCATGGACCAGGCAAGGAGGACATTAATCAGAGAGGCAACAAAGAGACCAAAGATAATCCTGAAGGAGCAGCAAAGCTCCACAGCGGAGATTGAAGTATCTGTCCATAGGACCACTTTAAGCCGTACACTCCACAGAGCTGGGCTTTACGTAAGAGTGGCCAGAAAAAAGCCATTGCTTAAAGACAAAAATAAGCAAACACGTTTGGTGTTCGCCAAAAGGCATGTGGGAGACTCCCCAAACACATGGAAGAAGGTACTCTGGTCAGATGAGACTAAAATTGAGCTTTTTGGCCATCAAGGAAAATGTCTAGCGCAAACCCAACACCTCTCATCACCCCGAGAACACCATCCCCACAGTGAAGCATGGTGGTGGCAGCATCATGCTGTGGGGATGTTTTTCATCGGCAGGGACTGGGAAACTGGTCAGAATTGAAGGAATGATGGATGGTGCTAAATACAGGGAAATTCTTGAGGGAAACCTGTTTCAGTCTTCCAGAGATTGGGACGGAGGTTCACCTTCCATTTACATTTTAAAATGTTTAGTCATTTAGCAGACACTCTTATCCAGAGCGACTTACAGTTAGTGAGTGCATACATTTTTCATACTGGCAGGACAATGACCCTAAGCATACTGCTAAAGCAACACTTGAGTGGTTTAAGGGGAAACATTTAAATGTCTTGGAATGGCCTAGTCAAAGCCCAGACCTCAATCCAATTGAGAATCTGTGGTATGACTTAAAGATTGCTGTACACCAGCGGAACCCATCCAACTTGAAGGAGCTGGAGCTGTTTTGCCTCGAAGAATGGGCAAAAATCCCAGTGGCTAGATGTGCCAAGCTTATAGAGACATACCCCAAGAGACTTGCAGATGAAATTGCTGCAAAAAGTGGCTCTACAAAGTATTGACTTTGAGGGGGTGAATAGTTATGCACGCTCAAGTTTTCTGTTTTTTTTGTCTTATTTCTTGTTTGTTTCACACCAAAAAATATTTTGTATCTTCAAAGTGGTAGGCATGTTGTGTAAATCAAATGATACAAACCCCCCAAAAATCAATTTTAATTCAAGGTTGTAAGGCAACAAAATAAGAAAAATGCCAAGGGGGTGAATACTTTCGCAAGCCACTGTAGCTCTTCTTATGATTACTTAAAATAGGTACAAGGAAATGATTCAGACAAATCAAAAGCTATGTGTTTAAAACCTGTTCCTCCAATAACAGCTCATCTGGTGTCATCTGTCTGTAGTTGGTGCGAACGGTTTCCTGGAGCGAGTGTAGATACTCCAGTTGTTGTTGCATGTCATCAGACATTTTCGCACAGCGTTTCACCTGAGGGAAGAAATCCAATGGGGTCGATAAAATATACAGTATTGATTCAAGGAAATGATTAGATGACTATACACAGCAATAACTACAGAAAGGTGCATGTGTAGGTAATACCATGCTGGCATAGTGGGTGAAGTCGTTGAAGTCTGTGGGTTCCACCCTAAGACCTTCCACAGCTCTCTTCAGTTCTAATATCAAGTTCTCTGAGCGCAGCTTCAGCTCCTCAATCAACAGAGTCAACACATCCTCCTCTATGGAGTTCAACAGAGGCCCTGCATGGGGAAACAAAACCACACATTCATGATTCTTCTATATAGGGCACTACTTTTGACCAGGGCCGATGTGCAGGGCCACACAATCAGATAACAAGACTACAAAAGGTCCCCAGTGATACACTGTCACACACATCACACACATCACACACATGCAGTAACTAAGTTGACCTAAAGTCACGCAGCACATGCAATCAAAAAAACACAAGCACACCCACACATACCCACACACAGCCACACACAGCCACACACCTATCTTCTCCTGGATGTGGGAGCAGTTAACGATGAGCAGCTTGTTGAAGGTGGTGAGAGAGGGGGGCACTGAACGCACCCTGTCAGTCCAGAAGCGCACCTTCTGAATGTGCTCCTCGTAGTGTAAGGCAGGCATGCCCCTCATGGTCTCCAGAGAAGCTGGACTCCATTGGCTGGTGAACAGATGGATGTCAACCAACCAGGAGTGTCCCTCACACAGCTGCTGGATCTCAAGCCCAGCCTCCTGTGGGTCAAGGGAGAATCAACAAACATTCCATTACTCAGAAACCAAACATGATGAAAGGATAGTGAGTGCATCGTTGTAGAGCTTTTCAGGGATCCATTCAGATGGATGTATTATGAAGAAATAATAGTTTACAAAAAAAGGGAATGACCTGTGTGATCCTGGCTTGCTCTCTCTGGACCTCCTTAGCTCCAGCATTGAGGCTGAGCTGCCATTCCAGCTGTTTCCTGGACAGGGGGTAGTACTGCCCTCTCAGCCTCTGGCCCTGGACCATCAGAGGGGTCAGCTTGGGCAGCACCAGCCTGGGAGCTGATAGAACACAATGAGGCTCCCGCTTGGAGGAGAAGCTGCTGACACCAGTCGGCTCACTGTTCTTCTCCCCAAAAGCTGAGAACAATGAACATACAAACATGAGCGTAAGAAAAGGTATATCTCTGCCTGTTTTATTTTTCAGTGCTTCAACTCCTGTTTACCATGAATTAGACATTTTTCCTGGGTAAGCCCTGTTATGGGATGAACAACATATTTTATCAAATTATGGACTATGGTACATCTGGGAAGATAGCTAATCTCCTGTCCAGCATTACCTGTGATACAATTAGTTCCACTGGTACAGGCCATGCTTAGGTCAGGGCTTAGCTCCTGAGCAGCACTGGTGAGGGAGGTGCTGGTAGACACACTGTCCTTGGCATCAAGAGAGTAACTACAAGTGTCAAATACCTACAAGAGCAAAACCACATTAGTATGTAAGACTCGCTGGGACACACAACTGGGAATTCTGTGCGGAGTTAATCACAACCTTGACCTAATTGAATGTCTGCATCCCAAATGGCACCCTATATAGTGCACCACTTTTGACCAGAGTCCATCCTTCAGTGTGTGGTTAATTGCATGATCTCACCTGAAGGGCAGAGTTTGCAACTGACAGCAGTGCCCCTCGCAGCACCTCCTGGAACAAGTGCATGGGTGGGAACAGAGTCGGCTGACCGTCTGCTCCGAATATCAGCTCTGCTTGGAACAGACTCCCCTGCTGTGGCTGCTCTCTCTATCGAGAATCATGGAATCAAAAATATCCATACCATTACCAGCAAACCTTTCATTAACATGATGATGTGAGTCACAAATGGCACCATATTCCCTCCATAGTCCACTACTTAGACTTTGGGCCCTGGTCAAAAATTGTGCACTATATAGGGAATATGGTGCCATTTGGGATGCAGACATTGTGTTATTTCATGCTCTCTCTTCTTTCTCGTCACCTTCATGACGTTGTTGAGGAAAGAAGTGACCTCTCGGTGGGTGATTGTGACGAGACCCTGCACGATCATCTGATCGGCCAGCGCGGCCATATTTCCCAGCTGCTGCAGGACATACTCTGCCCGGCCCAGCTCCTTCCTCAGGTCCCTCAGATGAGCCAGCTGGAGGTACAGGGGCTGGCTGCGCTGGTTGAGCTGGGAGTGTTCAACACGTAACTGCAGCTCCTGGTGAGACCCATAGCTGTCCTCCTGGACCTGGAAGAAGAAGAAGAAGAAGAAGAAGAAGAAGAAGAAGAAGAAGAAGAAGAAGAAGAAGAAGAAGGTCTTTATTAATCCATACGAGATGGAAATGTGTCTTCTGCTGTACCCAACCCCTCTGATATCCACACACAAACACACATTAGAGAGAGGGATGGAGGCCAACAGGCCAAGCTCTTGGATGTGTCAGGCCTAGCAGTCAATTTGCGTTCCTCTGTCTAAGGGTAAGAATAGTAGAGTTACAAACCATGTTGAGGATGAGAGCACGATACTGCAAGAATATCTCAAGAAGCCTACAGCACTCCTGGTTCTTTTTCATGAGGGCACTCTGGAAGTCCAGAAGGGTGTAGGTCTTGCATTCATCCTGTGGCAACCAGTGAACCCCTTTTAGTTCTTCAATCAGTCTGAAAACAGTAACAAAATATTATTTAACATTGTGTGCATTTCCACATAAATAAATAAACACTTATAAAAAACAATTCCAATGTTAATCATGGACCAAAATGAACAATAAGGCCCCTTGTACTTTGTTGATGTACAAAGCATGTCTGCATCTCAGATGGCACCCTATTCCTATATAGTGCACTTATTTTGACCAGAGCCATATGGGCCCTGGTCCAAAGTAGTGCACGACATAGGGAATAGGATGTCATTTGGGATGCACCCATAATGTGATGCAGAATACCTGGAGAATTGAAAGAGAGCGTCTCTGAACTGGGGTACAGCCATGAGTAGCAGACCCTGCAGTACTTCACACTTCCTCTGCAGAGTGATCTTACACACGCTTCTATGCCATCTGCGACACGCAACAGCAATATAAAGTTGACCAAAAAATTTGTTTAAGTCAAGAGAGAGAATTGCAACTCACCAAAAAGGTGACATGATACAATAAATGTGGACAGTTAAGATGTGTTCCAAAGTTTGTCTCCTATGAGCCCTGGTCAAAAATAGTGCACACAATTGGGATGCAATCTTAGCCTACCTGATGAATGCCTTACGAAGTAAATAGTTCCTGAAAAATGGGATGTCCTGCAAGGCTCTCCACAGTACGGCCTCCCGATGCCACTCTGCCAGAGAAAGGAGCCCAGCACTGCATCCATCCTGCACATGCAGCACAGAGGTGGGGGAGAAGATGAAGTGCTCAGTGCCTGCTCTATTGGGAGGGACCACACGAAGGTCATACGGTCTACAAAAAAAAAAGAAAACGCATCCAATTAACAAATTGTATCTGCAAAATTGTGTGAATGCTACAGAAGACTGGCAAAGCCACTGTTATTACATTTTTAAAAATGTGATAACATTATGGGCCTGGCTATGGTGTTCACTACCTGAATGGGCCATTGTTCACAGCTTGCAAGTGGAAAAACTGAAGCTTTCCCAGATGTCTTTTCTTTGCAAAGATTTCCACCACCTCTGTGCCAGTCAGAGGCTCTCTGTGCTTGTCATCTTTTCCTGCTTCTGTCTCTTTGTCTTGATCAGCAGTCTTTACCCGGGACACGTCTCCATGACCTGTAAAGCTGAATCAACAATGGACACCACAATAGTAAATGTTCTATCTGAATGTGCTTTTTATTTTTTTGAAAGACCAATGTCACATTTGAACACAAGAGTGAAATGAAGCAGCAAACATACATGCTCACTGCTTAACCTACCTGTCTAGTGCAGATTCCTCGAATGACACCTGAGTAACTTTGACAGGGATATCAGTCCCCAGCGCTGAAGCAATCAGACGAGGTCCCTCCATCCACAGTGACTCCCCCATGGCCAGCTCAGGACCCACCTCTGCCACGAGGCGAGGGAGCTCCACCATGGACAGAGGAGTGGGAGCAGGGGAGAGGTTTCCAGTGCTGAGGGCTCGACCTGGCTGGGGCTCATACATGAAGGCTGGTGAGGAGGCATGGTGCTCCTGAGACTCCAGTGGTGGTAGTGAGAGAACAGAGGCCACATTGGCTGCTGGGATAGGGTCCTTTTTCCTCCCTTTGTGATCCAGGGAACCATCCCTTGGCCTTGCTATGCCCCTTGCACGGGTCCTGTGTTGACTATCTCTTTTTGGAACAGGCATAATTGTAGGTTATTTTGTATAATTAGTTCTGCCACAAAACTCCAAGCTTTAGCCACTATTTGCTGAGATCATCTTCATATTTCTCTGTTGAGCCCATCTCTGAAAAGAAAACTCCCAAGAATTCCTGCCATAAATGGGGCAAAGAGCACAACCGCTCTTTTAAAGGAATGCCAGATTTAGCAGATAAAGACGACATTGACAGAAAAAATATAGTTAAGGCTAGAAACTTAGTCGTGGCCTCCATTATCTTTGACAGCTGAACTTTTTTTAGACAAGAGAAGATATTAGAGAAGAGACAAAAACAGGAAATACCTCTGACAGCTTTGCTACCTGTCAGTTAGCTAGCGTTACCGTTAGCAATGACTCAAATGCAAAAAATCACTGCGTGTAAAAGTTGATCTTATATGGAAAAAAGTTGGAAGGGAGCTAGCTCGGTAGCTAGCTAGCTAATATAGCTTGCAGGAATATAGAAGTGTACATTTAGATGGGAAAAGGGCTAACTAGCTTTATTAGCTATCTAACTTTTCAAACTTTCTCACCTGTATCGTGAAATTGGTCCACTGCAAAATATCAGCAGGTCTCGTTCCTATAGTTACATGGGACGCTTTGTCCATTTTTATGGCCCATATTGTGGGATCTCGTATGTTCCACAAGGGTGCGCTAGAGGATACTAAATCATTGGAGAAACTGCCAGGAGTGTGAAATGTTGTTTTTGTCCATGCATGAATAAATGCTCATAATAAGATGTCAAGGTCCACGTCTTACTTTGGGGTTGAGAGAGAGACAGACCAGTGAAGAACAAACACCATTGTAAATACAAACCATAGTTATGTTTATTTATTTTCCCATTTGTACTTTAACTATTTGCACATTCTTACAACACTGTAAATATACATAATATGACATTTGAAATGTCTTTATTCTTTCGGAACTTCTGAGTGTAATGTTTACTGTTAATTTTTATTGTTTATTTCACTTTTGTTTACTATCTACTTCACTTGCTTTGGCAATGTTAACATATGTTTCCATGCCAATAAAGCCCTTAAATTGAATTGAAATTGAGAGAGAGAGAGCGCACAAGATAGATTGAATTGAAATTGAGAGAGAGAGAGCGAGAGAGAGAGAGAGAGAGAGAGAGAGAGAGAGAGAGAGAGATATTTTCATAATCCAAGTTTGTGCAGACTTTGCACTGGATTTGGTAATTGTGCAAGTGATAACTGATGTTAACATACATAACCTGGCAGTCACTATAATAAGGACGTACACATTTTAATTTACACAATTTAACATGGACTAACCCTATACCAGAATTTAAAATGCATTATTCAGAACCAGAGTAGTGTAACCATGGGGGAATTGAGTTAATTGCCCCAGTATTGATTAAGAAAAAAATACACTAATTTCTTACTAGATGAAACTCATTACAGCAAGGTGCAGTCTGTGTTGAAATTATGCAGATCCAACCTGATTTACTTTATTCTCTCGGGTGAGAATATTACTGCTCTTCTGCAAGTGATGAGGTGAGCTCTATTAGGAGTGTCTTATTTCCCAGACACCATCAGGGTTAGTGCGAAGAACCTCATTCTAATGGTGTGTGTGTGTGTGTGTGTGTGTGTTTGTGTGTGTGTGTGTGTGTGTGTGTGTGTGTGTGTGTGTGTGTGTGTGTGTGTGTGTGTGTGTGTATGTGTATGTGTGTGTGTGTGTGGACGTGTTTAACTATACTTGTGCAGACCAGAAGTCCCCACAAGAATAGTAAACAAACAAACATTTGACCAACTGGGGACATTTTGTTAGTCCCCACATGGTCAAACGCTATTTCTAGGGGTTTTAGGGTTAAGGTTAGAATTAGTGTTAGGGTTAGAATTAGGTTTAGGTTTAGGAGCTAGGATAGGTTTTGGGGTTAAGGTTAGGGTTAGGTTTAGGGTTAGGGGTTAGGGAAAATAGGACTTTGAGTGGGACTGAATTGTGTGACCCCACAAGTTTAGTTATACAAGACTGTGTGTGTCTGTATGTGCACACACTTGTGTGTGTGTGTCAATTAATTTAGTCTTAAACCTGTAAAACAAGGCAGGTTTAACAACAAGATACACATTTACAGTAACTTTAATGATAATGCTCTGGATTTTACAACATTAGATAACCAAAATGAATAACCTTTCAACGTTTAGCATAAGACAAAACAGTAAAACAAACAGAAGCTACGCTCAACATAATTACTAGCAGTTTCACAATACATTTCTTTACAACAAATTACAATTATTGAAAACACCAATGCATGAAATACATAATAATACACCAATAAACAAAACATAAATCCTGAAAAATGCACAAAATAATGCATTCGAATGACCTGGCATTAGGAGAAGCTGCATCATGAACCACGTAACAGTGATACACAGGATATAAGCTTGTGGTTGCGTCTAAAGTCAAAAGCTGGCTAATGATTGAGCAATTGAAAAAAAAAATCTGTATCTACAGTTGAAGTCGGATGTTTACATACACCTTAGCCAAATACATTTAAACTCAGTTTTTCACAATTCCTGACATTTAATCCTAGTAAAAATTCCCTGTCTTAGGTCAGTTAGGATCATCACTTTATTTTAAGAATGTGAAATGTCAGAATAATAGTAGAGAGAATTATTTATTTCAGCTTTTATTTCTTTCATCACATTCCCAGTGGGTCAGAAGTTTACATACACTCAATTAGTATTTGGTAGCATTGCCTTTAAATTGTTTAACTTGGGTCAAACGTTTTGGGTAGCCTTTCACAAGCTTCCCACAATAGGTTGGGTGAATTTTGGCCCATTCCTCCTGACAGAGCTGGGGTAACTGAAACAGGTTTGTAGGCCTCCTTGCTCGCACACGCTTATTCAGTTCTGCCCACACATTTTCTATAGGATTGAGGTCAAGGCTTTGTGATGGCCACTCCAATACCTTGACTTTGTTGTCCTTAAGCCATTTTGCCACAACTTTGGAAGTATGCTTGGGGTCATTGTCCATTCAGAAGACCCATTTGCGACCAAGTTTTAACTTCCTGACTGATGTCTTGAGATGTTGCTTCAATATATCCACTTCATTTTCCTTCCTCATGATGCCATCTATTTGTGAAGTGCACCAGTCCCATCCTGCAGCAAAGCACCCCCACAGCATGACGCTGCCACCCCCGTGCTTTACAGTTGAGATGGTGTTCTTGGGCTTGCAAGGCACCCCATTTTTCCTCCAAACATAACAATGGTCATTATGGCCAAACAGTTCTATTTTTGTTTCATCAGACCAGAGGACATTTCTCCAAAAAGTACGATCTTTGTCCCCATGTGCAGTTGCAAACCGTAGTCTGGCTTTTTTATGGCGGTTTTGGAGCAGTGGCTTCTTCCTTGCTGAGCGGCCATTCAGGTTATGTCGATATAGGACTCGTTTTACTGTGGATATAGATACTTTTGTACCTGTTTCCTCCAGCATCTTCACAAGGTTCTTTGATGTTGTTCCGGGATTGATTTGCACTTTTCACACCAAAGTACATTCATCTCTGAGCGATATGACGGCTGCGTGGTCCCATGGTGTTTATACTTGCGTACTATTGTTTGTACAGATGAACGTGGTACCTTCAGGCGTTTGGAAATTGCTCCCAAGGATGAACCAGACTTGTGGAGGTCTACAATTTTCTTTCTGAGGTCTTGGCTGACTTCTTTTGATTTTCCCATGATGTCAAGCAAAGAGGCACTGAGTTTGAAGGTAGGCCTTGAAATACATCCACAGGTACACCTCCAATTACATTTACATTTTAGTCATTTAGCAGATGCTCTTATCCAGAGCGACTTAAAGTTAGTGAGTGCATACATTATTTTTTACAAATATTTTTTATACTGGCCCCCCGTGGGAATCGAACCCACAACCCTGGCGTTGCAAACACCATGCTCTACATCCCCGCCGGCCATTCCCTCCCCTACACCAATTGTGCGCCGCCCCATGGGTCTCCCGGTCGCGGCCGGCTACGACAGACCCTGGATTCGAACCAGGATCTCTAGTGGCACAGCTAGCACTGCCTTAGACCACTGCGCCACTCGGGAGACAAATGACTCAAATTATGTCAATTAGCCTATCAGAAGCTTCTAAAGCCATGACATCATTTTCTGGAATTTTCCAAGCTGTTTAAAGGCACAGTCAATTTAGTGTATGTAAACCTCTGACCCACTGGAATTGTGATACAGTGAATTATAAGTGAAATAATCTGTCTGTAAACAATTGTTGGAAAACTGACTTGTGTCATGCACAAAGTAGATGTCCTAACCGACTTGCCAAAACTATAGTTTGTTAACAAAAAATGTGTGGAGTGGTTGAAAAACGAGTTTTAATGACTCCAACCTAAGTGTATGTAAACTTCCAACTTCAACTGTATGTAATGAGTCTGTATCTATGTAATGTATCTGTATCTATGTAATGTATCTGCATCTATGTAATGTTGTAATGTTTTTGCACCATGGAATTTAGGGACCACAATGGAAATAAGTCTCTGATATCCCTGTCAAGTTTTTTAAATGCATGTACTGTGAGTATGTGTTTTTTAAACTGGCAAATAAAATAAATCAGTCACAAATGGCACCCTATTCACTATACAGTGCACAAGTAGTGCTCTAAGTAGTGCTCTGTATTGGGAATAGGGTGCCAGTAGGGGACACACGCTGTTGTTTACACAGTGGATCTGGCATCAATGACAATAGAGTAGCTGAGCAGCTGGTTGTACTCCTGGCCTCCTCCTCCTGGTACTGTCACTGCTGCCTTCCCCTTCCTCAGCTCTGGAGAGCACAGTTCCTGGGTCAGAGAGGTCAAGGGTGCCAGTGACTCCCGCTTCTTACAGGAGTTCAGTGACCAGAGAAGATAGGAGAAAGGGGTATAAAGCACATTGAATGTTGAATAAAGACCTATGGATAGAAGCTATAAGAATAGATTAATGAAGGCAAGAGGACCATTCTCAATAATTCAAAGCATGCATAATGTTTTTTTGAGAGGTCAACAGCTAGAGAAAAATTGTAAGAAAGACTGATACCAACCTTAGATGCTGGGCGGTCTCCTCCATTTATTTTGCTGCAAAACAAATGAACAGTTAATTGTCATTTGTGTTACAGTGGCAGACAGCATTTCAAATATTGTCTAATTCTTTTGATTTTTTTATAGAGTTGGGTATCATCCTCACTAAGAAAGTTGTATGGCCTCTGTAGCTCAGCTGGTAGAGCACGGCGCTTGTAACACCAAGGTAGTGGGTTCGATCCCCGGGACCACCCATACACAAAAAAAATTATGCACGCATGACTGTAAGTCGCTTTGGATAAAAGTGGTTATCCCACTGGCTATAGGGTGAACGCACCAATTTGTGAGTCGCTCTGGCTAAGAGCGTCTGCTAAATGACGTTAATGTGCCCTTGAGCAAGGCACTTAACCCTAATTGCTCCTGTAAGTCGCTCTGGTTAAGAGCGTCTGCTAAATGACTAAAATGTAAATGTAAATGTAAATGGCATATTATTATTATTATTATTACCTGCATTGCCAAACTGTACCCCTTGGAGGCGCTGTTGTATGAGTGAACAGACTTCCACAGAGCCACTGATTGTGTGAACTGTGAATGCATTATGCGACAGGAATATATAAGCAGAATGATGGTGACCCCAGACATCATCATTGATCTCTCTGATGTCAGAAGCAGTAGCTCCCCTTATCCATCATGATCCCCATGACACCAACCAGGCCAATGAAGACCTGCTCCTTTCAAAAAGTGTTCCTAGTGCTGGCGACCGGAGGTGACGTAAATCCCGGAATAGCTATTCTCCTGGGGCGTCATGTTTTCTCTGTGTATGCTGTCCAACTGACTGACCTTCCCAAATTAGCCTGACGGGACCTTCCCACAGGAACCAGGGATAATGGGACAGTGATGCTCATCGAACCAATGGCACCTTGATCAAATGTACTGACCAAAGACACAATGAATCAGCCTCTGAACTAACACTGAAGTGCAGTGAGTGTGTCTGTGTCTATATATTTACCATCCCTTCTCACACGAGTCCTGACAAAGAGGAACTTAGTCTGCGTCCCAAATGGCACCCTAATCCCTACACAGTGCACTACTTTTGACCAGAGCCCTGTGTGAGAGTTTTCATGGATTTGTGGATCAGATGCTTTTAGAGAATTTTGGGATCACAAAGTGTATCCAAACACTATGGTAGTGAGACACCTGTCTGATTATCTGATCAGATCCAATGACAGCAACAAGAGATGACTGCTTTATGCATTTTTCTCATTCCAAGCATTGCAACTGGGATTGATTTACAATCTGAATTCTCCAGCTGTGAAGCTTTTGAATAGCTTTTCTTACTTCCAGAGTAGTCACTCAGAGTAAAGCTCTATAGTTGCCCTATGATAACGTTAAATGTGTTGTCTTTACCACAGAGACAGAGAGAATCAGACTGTGTGAGTGGTGTGGCAGAGCTGTGGTGGCAGATGTACCTGTCTGCTCCAGCCACAGAGCATCCTGTTTGTGAATAGCTCTGTGATACTTTGGTCATGCTAAGCTGTAGTAACCATCAGATGCACAGACCTGGTTTCCTGTTTGTCACCTGCCAACCTGCTGGTTGCCGGCGTGCTACCTGTAATCATGTCACCTGCTGAGTTGCTGTTTGTCTGTCTGTCTGTCAACTACAGGAGGACGCATTCGCTCTGATCGACTCACCAGAAAACACACAGAGTGACGATGAGGAGGATCGTGATGGCTGCAGCCGAGGAGAAGCAGACGATGAAGACTATCACTGCACAAACACACAGGAGAAAGACATCAGGTAACACAAAATGGAAGTAAATGGAATGGAACACCTGTTGTAAATGGAAGTAAATGCAAATTATATGTACATTTTAATATGCCAATCATTTTTGGATGTTCACCAGAAAGCACTGAAATATCTTACATATTGTTGTTTCACTGATGCATGATAAGGTGAGTGTACACTCACTGAGCTGTTGATCTTCACTGGTGACCTCCACTTGAATGAGGACCGAGGCCTGATGGTGGTAGAAAGAGGCGTGGCAGGTGTAGAGGCCCGCCTCCCGCTTTGTGACCTCTGATTGGAACAACAGAGCCCGGCCATCCATCTGGACCAATGTACCGTCATTTCTTGAACACACAGCAGGACACAGAAGGTCATTACATAGTACACACGTTTGTCTGATCTGTTTTTCAGCTAAGTGGCAAAGAAGACAGTCATGAAGAGAGAATAAGATAAGCAAGTGAGGGGGGAAACTGCTATCATAACACTTTTTGGTGCATTCCAAAAGATGTGGAAAACAGACAAAAAAGTCATACAAAACCACTGCTATAGTTGACATTGAGTGGTAAAAATCTAATGAGACATTGTATTTCATATATCTACTTAGGTGTATAACTAAGTAACTGTATCATCCAGCTTAGCAGATATGAACACAGCTTTACCCAGAATAGCTTGACAGAATAACTCCTAACACAATTTATGTGAGCCTGTGTGTGGGAGGGCAGGAGAGTGTCAGGACCTCTGAGGATATACTGCTTTATGAGTCACTCATTGTCCCTGATAAAAGGGTTCTTTAGTGCCACCGACCGCATGGCCTGCCATGCGAAGTATCAGAAGTCCTGATAGTATCTTAATAAGGCATGATGGCAGCTTTAAGACACTGCACTTATTTGATTGTCTAGTTAAAAGCTCTCATAAAACAATACAAATGAGAACTTCCATCTGGACGAGAACAATGTTCGTAGAAATTACCGCCCGTGTAGTGATAATATTACCACAGACAGGGCCCTGCCCTACTCTGTCTTCCATCCTACTTTAGCTCTCTCACTCAGCCTCTACAGTTCAGAAGCTGAAGGGAAGGAATACAGTAAAAAAGAGAGTCTAGCAAAGAGGCTATTACCTGTGACAGGTAAGGCTGTATGTTGGCACACTGCCATAGACTTTGAGCAGGATCCTCTGGTTGTGGAAATTCTCCTTTAGGGACATTCGGTGGATAACAAACTCATCTCCATAAGGTTTGTACAGGGGAGTGGTTTGGTTCAGTACTCTGACAGATGAGATGTCTAAGAAGGGGAAGGAGAAGTGGTCAACAGGGGGCAAAAAACAAACCACTCCCTAGATACATACAGTCAACAGACAGGTACGGTGAGGGAAAAAAAGTATTTGATCCCCTGCTGATTTTGTTCGTTTGCCCACTGACAAAGAAATGATCAGTCTATAATTTTAATGGTAGGTTTATTTGAACAGTGAGAGACAGAATAACAACAAAAAAATCCAGAAAAACGCATGTCAAAAATTTTACAAATTGATTTGCATTTTAATGAGGGAAATAAGTATTTGACCCCCTCTCAATCAGAAAGATTTCTGGCACCCAGGTGTCTTTTATACAGGTAACGAGCTGAGATTAGGAGCACACTCTTAAAGGGAGTGGTCATAATCTCAGTTTGTTACCTGTATAAAAGACACCTGTCCACAGAAGCAATCAATCAATCAGATTCCAAACTCTCCACCATGGCCAAGACCAAAGAGCTCTCCAAGGATGTCAGGGACAAGATTGTAGACCTACACAAGGCTGGAATGGGCTACAAGACCATCGCCAAGCAGCTTGGTGAGAAGGTGACAACAGTTGGTGCGATTATTCGCAAATGGAAGAAACACAAAAGAACTGTCAATCTCCCTCGGCCTGGGGCTCCATGCAAGATCTCACCTCGTGGAGTTGCAATGACATTGAGAACGGTGAGGAATCAGCCCAGAACTACACGGGAGGATCTTGGCAATGATCTCAAGGCAGTTGGGACCATAGTCACCAAGAAAACAATTGGTAACACACTACGCCGTGAAGGACTGAAATCCTGCAGCGCCCGCAAGGTCCCCCTGCTCAAGAAAGCACATATACAGGCCCGTCTGAAGTTTGCCAATAAACATCTGAATGATTCAGAGGAGAACTGGGTGAAAGTGTTGTGGTCAGATGAGACCAAAATCAAGCTCTTTGGTATCAACTCAACTCGCCGTGTTTGGAGGAGGAGGAATGCTGCCTATGACCCCAAGAACACCATCCCCACCGTCAAACATGGAGGTGGAAACATTATGCTTTGGGGGTGTTTTTCTGCTAAGGGGACAGGACTTCTTCACCGTATCAAAGGGATGATGGACGGGGCCATGTACCGTTAAATCTTGGGTGAGAACCTCCTTCCCTCAGCCAGGGCATTGAAAATGGGTCGTGGTTGGGTATTCCAGCATGATAATGACCCAAAACACACGGCCAAGGCAACAAAAGAGTGGCTCAATAAGAAGCACATTAAGGTCCTGGAGTGGACTAGCCAGTCTCCAGACCTTAATCCCATAGAAACTCTGTGGAGTGAGCTGAAGGTTCGAGTTGCCAAATGTCAGCCTCGAAACCTTAATGACTTGGAGAAGATCTGCAAAGAGGAGTGGAACAAAATCCCTCTTGAGATGTGTGGAAACCTGGTGGCCAACTACAAGAAACATCTGACCTCTGTGATTGCCAACAAGGGTTTTGCCACCAAGTACTAAGTAATGTTTTGCAGAGGGGTCAAATACTTATTTCCCTCATTAAAATGCAAATCAATTTATAACATTTTTTACATGCGTTTTTCTGGATTATTTTGTTGCTATTCTGTCTCTCACTGTTCAAATAAACATACCATTAAAATTATAGACTGATCATGTCTTTGTCAGTAGGCAACCGTACAAAATCAGCAGGGGATCAAATACTTTTTTCCCTCACTGTAGTTGTAGTTAAATGTTGAACGGGAGGTTGGAGCTTGGCATGCCTGGCAAGTAATATACCTCTATGAATGTCATGACAGAAATGTATACTCTTAGAAAAAAGGTGCTATCTAGAACCTAAAAGATGCATTTGCTGTCCCCATAGGAGAAGCCTTTGAAGAACCCTTATTGGTTCCAGGTAGAACCCTTTTAGTTCCAGGTAGAAACTGTGGTCTCTGAGGAATTTATGACTTTGCTAATGGTTTCAAGTGGTTTTAGAGGATGTTGACTCAGCTTAAAGGGAGCATCTGGGAAGTAGTTCTATAGGGTCACCCTAAAGCTGAGGAAGTCTGTTAGGTGGCCTCCTGGGATTGGTCTGTAGGGGAAAACACCCATATTATGTTACATAGGGCATAGGATATAAATACCACGGTTAAAACAAAGGAGGACTGTCAGGGCGTGTTGTAGGTGTAGTGTAGGAATCAAACGCAGGACGCAGACTGAATGTTCCAAAGGCTGTATTACTGGCCCAACACAGGCAACAGGACAACTAAGCCCGACAGCAAAACCCGCACGAAGGCGAAAGGTAAATGCGCACTAACAGGTGCGACAAAATGTAACGGTGCACACACAAGTGCAAAATAAGCTCCAGCACAGTGGAGAAATACGCTCAACCGAGCAAAACACAACACTGACGGAAACAATCACACACAACACTAGACAAACACAACGAGAAACTTATAGGACACTAATTACGTCAAAACAGAAACAGGTGTGGAAACAAACAGACAAAAGCAAACGAACATGAAACATCTAGCGGTGGCAGCTAGAATTCCGGAGACGACGAACGCCGAAGCCTGCCCGAACAAGGGAGAGAGGCAGCCTCGGCCGAAACCGTGACAAGGACAGAATAACATATTACAGATTGGGGTCCGGTTATTCTCCAGATATCGGCAGATATCTGTAAATTGACGCTGGAACCCTTTGATATAAATAAACCTTTGTAATCAAAGTACAGTGTCAGCGGAATTCTTGTTCTCACAGCATCTCAGCATAGTTCTCGATACCACAAAACCCTTTTGGGTTCCATGAACAACCCTTTCCAGAGAAACCAAAAAGAGTTCTACCTGGAACCAAAAAGGCATCTCCTATGGGGACAGCTGAAGAACCCTTTTGGAACCCTTTTTTCTAAGAGTGTACAGAATGTATATGTAGTATAACAAGCAAGTACAATCTTTTGTGGTGCTAGGTGCTTTATATATATAAAAAAGGGGATAATCTCTGTCTCTATCTATTCCCTATTACACTTACAGTATCTGGGGACATGGACTGTCCTCCTCTCCTTTAGTCCATGGTGATTTTGAATGAGGCAGATCAGGTTTTGTCCCTCGTGGCGGGCCAGTGGGAACTCATAGGTGAGGTTGATTAGCACTCTCACTCCTTCATACCCAGACCGGAAGGAGATGTGGCCTGTGGTGTTGTCAGGTAGAACCCAAGAGAGGTGTGCTCCGAGCCTGTCCCCTCTGTACTCACACACAGCCAGCCACAGAGGAGATCCCCTCTGCCTCGCAACAAAAACACGCATCACAGGGGACTCTGAGGGGAGGGAGGGAGAGAGTGACAGTGTGTGGGGGTTGGATACAGTGAGGGAAAAAAGTATTTGATCCCCTGCTGATTTTGTACGTTTGCCCACTGACAAAGAAATGATCAGTCTAGAATTTTAATGGTAGGTTCATTTGAACAGTGAGAGACAGAATAACAACAAAAAATCCAGAAAAACACATGTCAAAAATGTTATAAATTGATTTGCATTTTAATGAGGGAAATAAGTATTTGACCCCCTCTCAATCAGAAAGATTTCTGGCTCCCAGGTGTCTTTTATACAGGTAACGAGCTGAGATTAGGAGCACACTCTTAAAGGGAGTGCTCCTAATCTCAGCTTGTTACCTGTATAAAAGACACCTGTCCACAGAAGCAATCAATTAATCAGATTCCAAACTCTCCACCATGGCCAAGACCAAAGAGCTCTCCAAGGATGTCAGGGGCAAGTTTGTAGACCTACACAAGGCTGGAATGGGCTACAAGACCATCGCCAAAGCAGCTTGGTGAGAAGGTGACAACAGTTGGTGCGATTATTCGCAAATGGAAGAAACACAAAAGAACTGTCAATCTCCCTCGGCCTGGGGCTCCATGCAAGATCTCACCTTGTGGAGTTGCAATTATCATGAGAACGGTGAGGAATCAGCCCAGAACTACACGGGAGGATCTTGTCAATGATCTCAAGGAGGCTGGGACCATAGTCACCAAGAAAACAATTGGTAACACACTACGCCGTGAAGGACTGAACTCCTGCAGCGCCCGCAAGGTCCCCCTGCTCAAGAAAGCACATATACAGGGCCGTCTGAAGTTTGCCAATGAACATCTGAATGATTCAGAGGAGAACTGGGTGAAAGTGTTGTGGTCAGATGAGACCAAAATCGAGCTCTTTGGCATCAACTCAACTCGCCGTGTTTGGAGGAGGAGGAATGCTGCCTATGACCCCAAGAACATCATCCCCACCGTCAAACATGGAGGTGGAAACATTATGCTTTGGGAGTGTTTTTCTGCTAAGGGGACAGGACAACTTCACCGCATCAAAGGGACGATGGACGGGGGCCATGTACCGTCAAATCTTGGATGAGAACCTCCTTCCCTCAGCCAGGGCATTGAAAATGGGTCGTGGATGTGTATTCCACAATGACAATGACCCAAAACACACGGCCAAGTCAACAAAGGAGTGGCTCAATAAGAGGCACATTAAGGTCCTGGAGTGGCCTAGCCAGTCTCCAGACCTTAATCCCATAGAAAATCTGTGGAGGGAGCTGAAGGTTTGAGTTGCCAAACGTCAGCCTCGAAATCTTAATGACTTGGAGAAAATCTGCAAAGAGGAGTGGGACAAAATCCCTCCTGTGTGCAAACCTGGTGGCCAACTACAAGAAACAGCTGACCTCTGTGATTGCCAACAAGGGTTTTACCACCAAGTACTAAGTCATGTTTTGCAGAGGGGTCAAATACTTATTTCCCTCATTAAAATGCAAATCAATTTATAACATTTTTGACATGCGTTTTTCTGGATTTTTTTGTTATTATTCTGTCTCTCACTGTTCAAATAAACCTACCATTAAAATTATAGACTGATCATGTCTTTGTCAGTGGGCAAACGTACCAAATCAGCAGGGGATCAAATACTTTTTTCCCTCACTGTATGTCCCTAAATGGCACCCTATTCCATTTATAGTGCATTACTTTGACCAGGGCCTATAGCGGGAATAGGGTGTCATTGGGGACGCACATAATGTATTGCGGCGATCAGTGGAGGCTGCTGAGGGGAGGACAGCTCATAATAATGGCTGAAATTGAGTCAATGGAATGGTATCAAACACATGGAAACCACGTGCGTGATGTGTTTGATACCATTCCATTGACTCCATTCCAGACATTATTATGAGCCATCCTCCCCTCAGTTATAAATTAACTTACCCAGTCCACATAGCAGTATCCCCCTTCTCTCTGGCCTCTCAAGACCCAGGTGATGCACCACACAGGTAACATTCTGACCAGAGAACATGGAAGTGGGGAACCTCAACATACTGCGTACCGTCACAGAGCCATTGGCATGGAGCTCAGGCTGCCCCTGAACCTGCGAGCCGAAACATGTCAGTGTGCAAATAATATTTTTGCTGTAACTATTTTTGTTTCCAAGCACCCTTTCATTTGTTCTTTCCCTTTACCTGTTCCTGCACCTCCGTGAGCTGACTGGTACTATTGTCACTGTCCCTGTCTCCAAGACTCCAGGAGATGGTGGCAGCAGGTCCAACACTGTCCACAGTGCACTGCACCAGTGTGTATGCTACGTCTTCCTCCCACTCAGAGCTGGACTGGATGGTGATGTTAGGAGGAGCTGCATGTAGATAGAACACCGATATAGGATACATGTTCTCAATGTAAATAAAATGACAGAGGTATAGGATACATGGTACTATTGTAAATATTTTATTTTAACACTAGAGCTTTAATTGATGGTGTTTGATGATTTGTTGAACATACCACCAGTCTGCGGCCAGGCACTCAATGAATCAGTCACCCAATCTGTCAATATTTATGATAGAAGTCACTTGAATTAACATATGCTGGCTTGCTACAAATTGCAGACCGCCAGATATGGCTACCAGTTGTCAAATTATAAAGAAGATATTTAGTCTGCATTTTCTTTTCTTTTCTTTTTTATATATTTTTTGTTATATATATTTTTTTACTTCAGTTTATTTTAGTAAATACTTTCTTAACACTTATTTTTCTTAAAACTGCATTGTTGGTGAAGGGCTTGTAAGTAAGCATTTCAGTGTAAGGTCTACACCTGTTGTATTTGGCGCATGTGACAAATAACATTTGATGTGATATGATATTTAGTCTACATTCCAAACATTTTACCACTATCAGGAATAGGGTGCCATTTGGGAAGCAAACCTACGATATGTAGACAAGGCTCTGCTCGTACCAGGCTGCTTGACTTGTGGGTTAACGGTAATGTCCAGCTGTACAGATGCCCTGTGGCTGTGGTAGGAGGCCTCACACTCATACAGCCCTGCATGGTAGAGCTCCACAGGACCCTGCAGGGTTAGAGCACTGCCAATCACCGCCACACCTTCAGGGAGAGACCGCTCTTCTCTAGGAGACAACACAAGACAAGACACAGTTAGCCACTCTCCAAAGGCAGAAGAGCAGCAGATCTAAGAGCTTTGGTTCTCACATATTTAGATCCAGGGATAATGTCCCCAACTTGGTGATTGTTGCTATTCAAAGTTGGTGCGTTACGTCTAGTTACAGGTTGCACTTGCGCATACCATTTGAGACGCATGCGCTTTGAGGTTCGCAGACCTCGCGGCGTCAACGTGCATAATCTGCAGATGGATGGTTCTAAAAGAATTTACAGGATGTGTGTCTAGTGCCAGGTTTTCACCTGTGGTTTTCAACCAAACCTCTCACCACAGCTGCCAGACACAATGTTCACCCCTGTGTTAGTGATGCAAAAACCAGTACAGTAACAATAGCATAAATTAATGAAATTGCTAGAAGGCAAAACGTGATAGCAAACGTTGTTTTTTGTAACTGTTCCCTGACCGATAAGATTATCACAGCAGTTCCTTCATGGTAATGTTGTCCTTTTTCTGAGATTAACAGAAGTTAACAATCAAGAGAGATCAACAGACATCTTGTCTGTATTATGAGAGTAATACAGGTATTCTTACTTGGTGCATACTATACTGTAACGTGGTACATCCCCAATGACCTCTAGGCCGATGGTGGTGTTGCTCTGTCCTTCCTCCAGAACCACTGACTCTACAGCCTGGCTCTCGTTGCTGCTGTCTGCCAACCCTGGGTTCAGCAGCCGAACAGCAGACAGATCTACACAATAGGAAGTGAAAACACAAGATCCAACATAGAGTCTGTTATTAACTAGAGTAAATGAAAAGCAGTCTCCGAAGACCATACTTTTGGCTCCAAATCCTCAGTTATAACTTGTGAAGTACTCACAGAATGCCGGCAAAGTGACGGTCCGTAGCGCTCTGTGTGGGAACTTGGGGTGGTCAAACAGGCAGGTGATGTTCTTCCCTTCATGAAGCTCAGCTGGGAAGCGGTATG